GATTTCTGGCGTTCCGTGTTCAAATCACTCGGAACGCGCTTGAAGATGTCAACATCTGGTTATCCAGAGTCAGATGGTCAGACGGAACGTGCCAATCGTGTCCTTGAAGAGATACTTCGAGGATACGTACACTCCTTTAAGATTTGGAGTGAGTTCTTGCCAATGGTAGAGTTTGCCACTAACAACTCGGTGCATGCGTCCGCGACCCAAACACCGTTTTACGTGAATGGCTTACGCCATCCGTGTGTACCCACCTTACTAGAGTGTAACTCTGGTTTAAGGGGTGGAGGGACTCGCGCCAGCAAAAAACTATTTGGTTCACGCTCATCACGCTCTGACGAAGAGGTTATTGCGTTTGATGCCGACATCGATAACATCGATATCGAAGAAGATGATGCCAGTGAGAGTGCGGAAACCCTCACTGAAGAAAAGTTTGATGTTGCTGCAGTGCGCCCACAGCGCACTGAAGCTAACGAGTCATCAGATGAGTTCATACTGGCTCGTGAAACGGCTGTCCGTTTTGTGCAAAACTCCATCGCCGAAGCGGTGGATAAGCAAAAGCAAAACGCTGACAAGATTGGAAGGGCAAACAATCTTTTATTTAATAAAAGTGACTTAGTCCTACTGTCTACGTTTAATCTACTAAAGCATGTAGTGACTAACTTGGGTAGTAGTTTACTACTACCCAAGTACATCGGCCCTTTTCGTGTATTGCACCGCCTAGGCAATGCATACACGATCGAGTTGCCACGTAAGATGCGAACGCATCCCACGTTTTACGTTGGTCAGCTTAAGCCGTACCATCAGTACGCTGCTTCTTCCGATGAAGAACGCCCTTGCGCTCAAGCATCTCGCAGAGAGCCTTGTGCTCCCGATGGTGGGCATCAACAAGGGTCTGAAGAGCAGTTATCTCATCCCGAGACCGATCAGCAATCCCACGAGCTACCCTTAGCTCGTCACGAAGAGATGTCAGAGATCTCTCGTTCTCGAGCTGAGCAAAGGCAAACTCAGCTCGATGCTTCGAGGCAGTGTCCGCCATTTGGAGACGCCTATTCCGCTCATGTTCGAGACCGTCGCGTAACCCTTGCGTTACGCGATCAAAGAAGCTCTCGGGTACACACCGATCCCCATGATCGTGTGGAGAGCGTCTTTCCTCCTCCTCCACCTCCATTAGAGGACTCTCGCGGTGGCCAGCGCTATCTAGTTGAGCAGCTGTTGAACCACCGCGACGTGAACGGACGTCGGACGAGTTATCTCGTCCGGTGGCGCGGTTATCCCCCGTCCTGGGATTCTTGGGAGCCCCGCTTCCGACTGATGATTGACGTACTGGGTCTGGTTGAGCAGTACGACGCGGCACATCCTGTGCCGCAGAAAGACCGCCGGAGAAAGTCTTCCCGGCACGGTCGTAAAGGGATTTCAGGTTGTCAATCCCTTCGTACATCTCAGTAGACATACGTGCGCGCCACCACGGGCTGGTAAGGAGGTAAGCCTCCTTAGGTGCGCGCGCAGAGTTGTTCACACAACATGGGCACGAGTCTCCCCAGTAGAGGCAGGGTAATCCTTTCTCCCTTGACAGGCGATGCAGCTTGTAGCGTGCACCTGTCGGGGTTCGCTTTTCAAACTTATCACGAGCTTTGATAAGTTTGTCGTTCCAAACGTCACGACCTACATCCTCAAGGTTATGGATGTAGGCGTTCCACGCTTGAAGTAGTGAGGGACTATCACGCATGTGATTCCCACTGTACCATCGATGTTTGAAGAAAGCATCGATGAAGAATTCATGTTCAGCGCGATAGTTTTTCGCACTGGGGTCAAGGTGATGGATCCTTGAAGAATCGAACAATCGTGTTCGATAACGATCACTCGTCGTCGCCGACAAGTGATCCATGACGGATTTTGGAGGCATCCATGCCTTCTTTTCAGGAGCGAGACGCAACACATTGCGATCCCGCTCTTCCTGCGATGTGCCGACAGAAGGACTGGCACCTCGTTGCGAAGTGGTGTCCATAGGAGAACCGACACCACTGTGAGCGCCCGAGTCTCGCGACCTCGAGCGCCTTCGCTTCGGCGATGGTTCATCTGATTCATCAGATGAACCAAAGATGCTGCGACGCAAAGCATCGTCCATGCCACGCTTGGCAGGCGGTTTGGATTCGATCGCCGTCGGTACGGATCCGTCTTCCGTATCAGGAGAGTACGAGACACCGATCTCATACTCTGTGAAGACATGAGTGTCTTCATGACCAGCGCCTGCATCACCAAGTGACACAGGCTGAGTCGCTTCAGCAACCGATGAGACATCAGTTGCTGTTGTTCCTGCTTCGGCGTCCGCACAGAGACGTGCGGACGCGCTCTCGGCGGCCTTGCTCGCGCATCGCATGGGCTTGTTAACCATGCGATGAGATTTTGAAAAGTGGACTCGGACCAACAAGTGCAAACCCTGTCCCAAATGATTTGGGACGAGTATCCGTTTAGTCAATCAGTCACTAAAGTGACTGATGGTTAAGGGGGGGTGATGTAACGGGGTGAATCATTACATAACAATTTATAAGTAATTGTTAATAGAATATAACTATACGAGTTATATTCTCAGAATACTGTCATAAGGACGAATATTCTGCAGCAATTACGAGTAGTTCCTAATTGGTTGATATAGGCCATCATATCAACCAACGAAGACGCGCCACGACAGACGCACGCAATGAGTGGTGAGCAGATAATTGATTTGCACATTTGTATTCAGACATAGTTAGATGAAGATAAATAGTGATTTATTACAGACATTAGCTATTATAAATACAGTTCTACTTTTTTCTTTAACGAAGTACTCACTTCTTCTTACGGTCTTCCTCTGCACGTACGAGTGTACGTGAAGTTCCGAGGCCCCGCCTTATTCTGTCATCAGAATAAGTAGCTTGTACTGTTACCAGTACAAGCTTCAGGGTGCCCCGTTACAATTGGAAGTTACTAGATTGCTGTTTGGATCACTCTCCTATGCAATAAGGTTTTGTACTCATTATATTTGCCCCTAGTGACAAACCTGTTCAAGTATCCATATTCGAGAGCCTTCTTATTCTTCTTCAGGAAATTGAAGGACACCTGTTTGGTGGAGGGGACTTTAACTTTACTTTAGAGCCGCGGCTTGACCGTCCCCATGTCTTACCACCCGGGGCTACTTGAATATTTTGCAGTGCAAAGGCTTTCCTAGCGTAGCTTAGTGATGTTTTTGATGATGTCATGAAGAGCGCCGAAGAAGAAAGAACTGTATTGCGTTCCAGGCGGCGGCTCAAATCAATTTTTACACTCTGCCGGGTGGTAGATCGTTAAGCTCACGGCTGGATCGGTGGTATATGAGTTCTCGGCATGCTGTTTTGATTCGAGAAGTAACCATGTCGGCACCTAGTCCAGCTACTAACCACAATGAAATGATATTAGGATCGGCGTGCCACTCCATGTGGTCTTTATCCGTAAGCTGAGGCGCTTGTATACTGTTTCAGGTTGAATACATGCGGCCGCGCATTAATTAATAATTGCGGACATGCAGCATGCACAGCTTTAAGCTGAAAAGTCTATTTCTGTTCCGATGTCGGACCAAGTCACGGCCCGGTGACAGGCCGAATGGTGGGATGAATGGAAGATAATACTTTGCATGGTTCTTTTGGCGACTGATAAAACCGCATGTCAAGGCTTAAAAACGCTATTAACAACGGCTGAGTCAATTTTATGTACGCCTAGATTCTGCTCTTATGGCGGTGCGTACACCTAATACCTTACCACCGGGAGACCACGACTGCTGCGACCAGCATAGCACCACCGATACTCCGGCGTGGCTTCAACAATATGTGGCGTAGTGTCGAAGCTTACGTCAGCGAACAATGGACGAGCACCTTCTCGATCAGCACACATACACTCTAGGAGAGACTTCCCATCGTTTATACGGCCGGATGTCGACTCAGTATTAGGACAACACCATCGTTGTCTGGATGGAAAGGCAACATCGGGGTCAAATTGGTCCCAAAAATTTGCTGATGAAATGGCCGAAAGGCGGGAGATTTTTAAAAAATTTACCCCTTGCCTGTCGCAAAACAACCGTCGCGTTTGTTTTCCGGGCCTATCAGTTCATCTGGGCTGAAAATGCTACTGTGACATCGGCTATTCTCTCCAACAGCGTGACTGCGGCTTTGAAACGGCTCAAACGTGGGAATGCTGCAGGACCGAATGAAGTCAATAACACTTCTACGGAAATTACGCGTACAAGCTCAGTCGTTTTCTTGCTACATTCTTCACCATATGGCTTACGTGCATCCTGTTCCCGTTGTCGCTTGGCGAAGCGAATATTTAGTATTTAAAGATATCTACGTCTTCTGCCTTTATGCTCGATCATCGCTCGAATGATCTACTCAACAGCTGCTACAAATTACTTGTTTTAAAACTTTTTGTATTGGGTGCGGCCATTGTCGTCGCATCTTGATCTGACGGATTTAGCTGTTTTAGATGTAAAGCGATCGATCCATACAACTCTTGAAAATTTCGCGGCGGTACAAAAAGCAGCAAATTTATACAGCGGTTAATATTGAGCCATTGTTTTGCTTCTCGTTTTTGCCAAGGCTAACGGCGCGTTGCAATGTCCATATCTTCTTTTGCTGATATGATGGCCCGGATTTTCGTCCCACTTCGTAACAGTCGTGGCAGCTTTATACTGCGACACGACCTGTCAATTTGTTTATAAGGGATACTGGCGACGTGACATTACTTGTGGAACTCAGCGAGGGGGTCCCCTTGCGCCACCTCTATTCTCTCTTACGATATTGTCTATTGAAGCTTCAAGCAAGAACATCCAATGGATGATAACCTGTAGCGCGGACTACTGAGTATCAAGTTTCGGGCTGCGCCGATGACACTGCTGTCTTCCTCCGCGATCGGTATGCAATTATGCTGGTCATCACCAATCTAGATGATTTTGCTCACATGTCTGGTCCTGGATAGATCGTTTAAAATCAATGGTGTTTGAGCTGGACCCTCGCGACTTTGCGCCATCTCTTAGCATCTGTGGCCTCCCTCTGCAGATTTTCTGCAACTATTGCAGGTATGTTAGTTCTCTAATGGGACAGTACTTTCAGATTTGCGACCAATCACGCAATCAAATCGTTGTGGCACCGGGGAGTGTGTCAACGCAGTATACACGCATAAAACGGCGAATAAGCGCCTAGTAATAAGCCCTCGCCGACCCAAGAGCGCGGTGACTTCGACAACGGCGAACATGTGGACGGAGGAACCGGGCACCGTACGCGAGTGGCATGGAGTGATGACGAGGTAGGTGGCTCGAGTGTGCCCACGCCCGTGTCGGGCAAGAGAGTGCCAATAGGAGTGGAAAAGACGGGGCGCGACGAGACGATAGGGGATGGGCACGGGAATTCTGACCAATCCCAAGCTTGGACAGGCGGCCTCGGCCCCCCAACTACTGCTCCTATTTGTGGGACCCGTACTGATCGGCGTTCGTACGCGGCCGCAGTGGCTGACTCCTTCCTTGAAGGAGATAGTCAGTATCCAGTGGATACAGAACGGGGGGCACAGGGGAAAGGATCGCGGGTCGGGTCCTCTCCTATCGCGGGAGCTTTTTCCTGTGACGTTGTGGCTCGATCTCGAAATCTCGGGTCGGCGTATGAGCCTCACTTGTTGGTGTCTGCGGGCTCGGGACCGGTGAGAGCTGCAACAGAGCAGGGAAGGGCCGACACGGTAGACGGGCGGGGTCCGGGACTTTTTGCTGACTCCAAAGAGAATGGGAGTCAGCGCTTATCTGCTGACCACAACCGTGTGCTGGTGCGGGCGGCTACGAGAGTGTGGACCGACAGATCAGACGATGATCTCCGTTCGGTGATTCCGCTTGAAGAGGAGGCTCTAGCGGCATGTGAGATGGGGGCTATCATGCTCCAGTCTCCGCCTAAATTTTTTGTGTGCACGCACCCGAGGGCTACGCGAGTTGTAATGCTTGATTTTTTTGAAGAGCACCTGGAAGGGAAGGTCATTGCGATTGTCGCTCCGTACGTGCGCATGCCTCAGTATATCGCTGAGAAAACGTTGCTACTCCAGCTCTTGGAACGCAGTGAGGGGCAGACGGAGTCCGATGTCATGAGTCGGGAATTGGTCAAGGGCGCCAAGCGGACCAGTTACGATGCCGAAACGAGGCGACTGACTTTCATTATGCCGTATTAAGCGGCAGCAGCAAGCTGGCATGCAAAGATGATTTTGTTTCGCGGAAAGCGTCTTCAGCTGTTGTGCCCGGCCACTATGGAGCGCGAAGACATTACTGCTCCTTCGCTATTAGCCACGTCAAGCGGTAGACACCAATTGCAATACCAAGTCCGGATTTTGGTCAATGGAGTGGCGGCAAGCACGGTTCAAGCTATACTGGCGTCCAGTGTGGCATGTACGGTCACATCCGTGTCTCGTGGGTGCCCACTCGGCTCGGAGGCATATGATTCCAACTTTTTCGTGGCAACTTTTGACATGGTGTCATGCCCCGAGCAACTCAAGCTGGTCACGCACATCGCAACATCCGAAACGGAGATCTTTCTCCACCATTTTTGTCACTTTCAACGCGTTCCCTGTTTTTCCTGCTATTCGCCATATCACTCGAGTGCTAAGTGTGGTGGACGCAAAGGCGCTTTTCAAGTTTAGCATCACCGAGAATTTACTGGTATTCCAATAGCTCCTCCTCACGTCAGTGGGTTGACTTTTAACCACTTAGACGTTGCCGGTCGCCTGCAGCATGTCTCTGGACTGGCGGATACTTTGGTGGCAACCACGGCGAAGTTAAAGGCTTATGGCAACAAGGCCCCACTGTTAAGTGAGGTCTCGCAGGTACCTCATTGTGCTGGGCAGTCATCAGTTCCGAACACGTCTCCGCTTGCCGGTGGACAGGCCGTTCGGGGCGGGGCTACTCGCGTCAGTGGTCCAATGACGAACGAGTGGTTCGACCCTGGAGCGAACAAGAAAAAGGGGGATGTGCGCCCCGCAGATGTTCCGGCTAGTCGGGCAACAGGACCTGCTGTGAAGCTACCCAAGCATCCGCAGTTCAACAAAGATGGAGGTGCAAGAAAGTCACCACTCCCGAAGTCGAAGGCTGTTGCCCAAACTATTTCCACGAACACGGTCACTGACAAAAAGAAACCACCTTAACAGACTAAGGCAACTGTTCGTAAAAAAGGGCAATCGACCACGGTCAATTCTTCGCCACCACCCTCCGCTTCTTCGAAGGCGGACACCCAGCGCACGCTGGCGATTCGGGAACTGGACCACATATTGAGTGGTGCTCATGAGGAAGTAGCAGAACCTGCACCGATTGAATCGGGGGTCGATTCGGCGCTGCCTTCGACGAATTTAAAAGAGGCGACCCTTAGGGCCGTTCGATCGCAAGTAGCAACCGCACAAAAAACGGTCGAGGAACTTAATTTAGCAGCCGAAGAGAAGAAGCGCGCGGCAGACACCACGAAATCATGCTACTTTGCGGCTCACGCTCAGGCACTCGAAGTGGCTATTGCTACTGAGAAAACAAGTAATAGAGAACCTACTTCTCCTGAAGAAGGCAGTGAGAAATTGCTGAGGATGGAGTACGAATACCGCACCGCAGGTGCGACGGCGAACCGAGCGAATGCGGATGCAACGATAGCAGCGAAAACCCTCGAAACACTGACACGTCGGTTGGCAAATATTACACCGAAACCGAAGCTGTGCCCAAGATACGGCCCCACAAGGGGATACACCACCTCGCGAGATGCCTACGGAGCTTGCAGAAAGAAGTAGAGAGAGGAGTCGGTCTATGATACAATGCTTGTTGGCTTCGTATGTTCGCCGCAAACGGGGTGTACCAAGTGAGCCGATCGATAAACCTCTTGGTACGGTACCTACCGCGAAGGAGCCTCGTGATCCGGTTCCACCGGATCTACCGCCGATGTGCCCCCCAAAACACGGGCAGCGTCCCTAAGATCTCGATGTTACTATGGCGGAGAGCACGGTTACGTTCGGGAACACTATGTGATCGAATGATTTAAATGGAGGGGCAGTTACTCCGCCTTCCTGTGCCGCTAGTGTACCTATTCCAGCGGATCTAGCCAAGGCAATTGAGGAAGAGCTTAAGGCCTCGTCTGGAGCTATCGACGTTTTCGACACGGGTGCCTCTAGTTTATCAACACGTCCTACCGCTAGCATGGGTGGTCTCTGTACGCAGGTAGCGGTCCGGTCCCCGATGGAACAATGTCGCGCTCCCGATCCTCACGATCAGACTTTACGCGCAACAAGGATTCGCAAAATTCCAGATAGCGCATCTGCTGCGGTGGCGGCTGCTGCAGTGTCGGAGAGCATGAAACAAATTTCATTGAACACAGCGTCGATTCGCAAATGGGTTAGCCTGCACAAAGCGATGGCTGCACTACCGACTACAATGCCATTTGAACCTAAGGGACAAATGGCCTGGATTAACGCGTGCTCCTTGGACTTGGCGGGACTCGTCTGTGGACTACCTTATCCTGTTGCTTACCTTGCCTCGATGTCGGGTGAAACCCTACGGTCTTTTGGACATTCCATCAACAGTGAATCTCAACTGGCTGTAATTTGGCAACACACCACACACGCAGATGAAGAACTTCGCGAGCTGTGCAAGGGTTGGGCCGCCACGGCAGACGCTCAAACCGGTCATATTCGATGGAGAACGACGGACAATATACAAAGCTGGAGACGCTTTAGTAAGCTACAGCCCGATTTGCTGTGCGCGACTGTCGTCGAACCGCTTTCTGACTTGGATCAGTGGGGGGTCCTCGATGTTCGGTGTTTATTGCTCCCGAAGCTCGCACCTATTGAGGTTAAGACGAACGTGGTAATGCCGCAAACCAAGGCTGTACTATATCACCTCTCCAAACAGGTGCGCGCGGCGGTGATTAGCATTATATGCACACCTGCCAACTGGCAGCCGGCCCTTGACCTTATCGCTAAAGATGGTCAACTGCTGGACTCTAGGTGCTGAGGGCGTCTCGGCTGAGCTAGAGGATGCATCGTCGCGGCACATGCCACAACGTCGTCCAAGACGCCTTTTTAAGACCTCATGTCTTCCACGCGACAACAGCATAGGTCTCCATTCGCAGAATGTCGCGGGATTTCCCAAGAATCCGGAACATTGCGCAACTTGGTTCAGTCACTTCCGACAGAGCGAAGCCAGGGGAATCATCGATTTGGTCCTTTTACAGGAAACGCGGGTCACTTTAGGTGAGGCAGCTCCTCTGGACAAGCTTTACAACTCCTCCTGGGGATTCGTGCACAAACTCGGACGCTCGTTGTGGACCGAGTCCGAGTTCTCTCGTGGAGGTGTGGCTATTTTATTGAACCCATACTCAACAATTACGGAAATGGTTCCGTGGTATGAGGATCAATGGACACAGCATTGGATGGCTGTCCGGGTCTGTCTAATGGGCGAAACAGTTCTTGTTGTAAAAGTTTACGCCCCAAGTACCAAGACTGAAAGAGAGGCGCTGTTCTTGAGCCTTCTACTTATTCTTCAGGGATACGAAGGACCCATGTTTGTTGGAGGGGACTTCAACTGTACTTTGGAGCCGCGACTTGACCGTTCTTTTGTCTCGCCGCCAGGAAGACATGATTCCTTGGCGCTTCGGCGGCTTCTCGGCCGAGTGCAGCTTAGCGATGTTCTTGATGATGATCTGGAGATGGCCGAAGAAGAAAGAGATGTACCGGCGTTTCATGCGGCCTCTCACACTTATTTCTACACTCTTCCGGGCGGTGGATCGGCTAGTTCCCGACTGGATCGGTGGTATGTGAGCTCTCGCCATGCTGATTAGATTCGTGGCGTTGCTTTGTCAGTACCTGGTCCAGCAGCTGACCACAATGGCATCAGTATCAGGATTGGAGTGCCGCGTTATGTGGTCCGTGTACGTAAGCCGAGGCACTGTTCCAGGTTGTGCAAACACAGCCGCGCATAAAGCAATTGTTGCGGCCATTAAGCTGGCACAGCTTCAAGCGGACGAGACTCTTTTTGTTCCGCCGTCGGACTATATCACGGCCCGTAGATTGGCCGAATGGTGGGATGAATGGAAGATCAGGCTTCGCAAAGTTCTTTTGGCGACGACCAAGACCGCGCGTCAAGGTATGACAACAAGCTATCGGCAGCGGCTACGTCGGCTCTATGTAATACTGGACGCAGCTCTATTGGTGGCGCGTACACTTGATAACTCACCACCAGGAGCTCACAAGGACTGCAACAAGCCTAGCACCACCGATACTCCGGTTGGACTGCGGCGTAATGTTGCGGAGTGTCGACGTTTATGGCAGAGATCCAAAAAAGAGCGCCTTCTTGTTTAACACACGTATACTCCTGGAGAAACGTCTCGACGTTTTTTCGCCCGGGTGGCGACTAAATTTCAAGACAACATCATTGTTTCTCTGGGCGGAAAGGCTGCATACGGGCCAAATCATTCTCAAGATTTGGCTGATGAAATGACGGATGGCTGGGAGCGTATTATGACTCATTCCTTTGCCTGTTCCGACGCTACCGCCACTTTTCTTTCCCAGGCAGTCCCGTTAGAACCAGTTGATGACACTACTGTGATGTCGGCCGTTTCCCCCGATGACGTGAGTGCGGCTTTAAAGAGGCTGAAACGTGGGAAAGCCGCGGGACCGGACGAAATTAACAACACATTTTACAGAGATTACGCGGAAGCGCTCAGTTCAGTACTCGCTACATTCTACACCAGATGGCTTACGTGCAGCGTGTTCCCGTCTTCCTTCGGTGAAGCGAACATTCAGTGTTTGAAGAAATCTGCGTCCTCCGCCTTGCCGCTCGATCATCGCCCGACTGCTCTCCTCATCAGCGACTACAAGTTATTTACCAAGATTCTTTTGTTTCGGGTACGGCCATTATTGTCGCATCTCGTTTTGCCGGCTCAAGTTAATTTTGTTCCAAAGAGGTCGATCCATACAGCTCTTGACATTTTCGCGACGGCACGCAAAGCTGCGACTTTGGACAGCAGCCTACATGGAGCCATTGTGCTACTTCTCGATTTTGCCAAGGCTTACGACACGTTGCAACGTCCATATCTGCTTTCGTCTCTGACATGGCTTGGGTTTTCGCCTCATTTCGTATCAGTCGTGGCAGCATTACACCACGACACTATTTGCCGATTTCTTGTGAATGGATACCGCTCTAGTCGACGTGACGTTACTTGTGGAATACGGCAAGGATGTCCCCTTGCGCCACTTCTCTTTATTTTAGCCCTCGATAGTGTCTATCGGGTGCTACAAGCGAGGGAGGACATTCGGGGGTGCCTATCTCCACTGGTATCGGGATACGCTGACGATACTGCTGTCTACCTTCGCGATCGGTCCTCGGTTACGCCTGTTGTAGCTATTCTAGAGGAATTTGCTCATGTGTCGGGTATCCGGACGAATCGGTCGAAATCGATGGTCATTGAGCTGGACCCTCGCGGATCAGAGCAACCTTTTATCACCTGTGGTCTCACTCTGCAGGCCCCTAGTGACTCTTGCAGGTATCTTGGTGTATTGGTGGGACAACAGGACGCGGTGGCCGATAACTGGAATAAGCGCATACGTTCTATATGGAGCCGACTTGTCTTAGCCCGCGAGAAGACGCACACAGTGGAACAACGTGCTCTGCTAGCAAGTGCTATCGCGGTGCCCAAAATTAACTTCTTAGCACGGCACTGTTGGCCTCCTCCCGCAGTGGTTACCCGGTTGCACAGCTTAATTATGGACTTTGTATGGGGTGTCCGAGATAGAAAGCGATCCAGACCCTGGGTGTCTTCCGAGATAGCGGCCTTACCTATCCAGCAGGGAGGACTAGCGGTTCCCTGTATTCGGACGGAATTGATGACAATGGCGGCAACAGCAGTTGGACAATGGGCTGCTACTGTCTCTTCGAGAGACTTACTAATTGGTGACTTCGTATGGGGATCTACCGGGTCGGGTACGGATTACATTCCGCCTTGTTGGACGGAAGACAAGCTCCCTCGATATCGCGCGACGCTTTGGCTAACTGGGTCTGAAATCTTTGGACTTCCTTCGGCTCAACATGCACGCCAAGGTGCGGTCAGCGAGGTCTGTAGACGAGCCTTGTCGTTTACGTCGAGAGCCGCAGTCGCCTATAATGAAGACGGTAGTGTCACAATTGATGTTCGGCGGGTTATTGATGACCGATTGCGCGTTGGGATGCGAGCTGATGTAGCAGCATCAGGGCGATTTGACCACCGGTGGCTGGCACACGCCACGCTTAAGGATATGTCGTGGCTCAGAGATAGACAGGGTAAGGCGTACAGCTTGAACGGGGCCGACTTTGCGCGAAACTTGAATTACCTTGGCGAGACAATGACGTGGACGACCCTGCAGAGTGGCATGGTCTTGTTCTCTCCTACGCGTGACATGGCGTCCCAGTCTATGGCAAAGCGACGGCATTTTGGGTCCTTCTGCCTCGCGCTGCTTTACAATTTCCCGTCACTGGTATATCGACCACTGGAGCCTGGGTCTGTGATTGCATACTCTACAAAGGTGCACCAGTTCCATGACTGGCTTCTAACTGGTGACGGTAAGTCGCTCAGACATTTCGATACGGGCATGGAATGTGGAGTGCAACCGGTCGCTTCGATGGCCGCATGCGATATAGCCGCCTTAACAGCTAGTAAGTCTCCTGTTTACTTTGGAGCGCATCCGGCGCTTACTCGCGTTGTCCACATGTGGGCTGGACGACGAAGGTGGCGGCCGCAACGACGTAAACTGAAACAGATTATCACCCGGCGGCGCCGTGCTGTAGGGACTAGACTTCTTGATGAACGTGTGGCAACGACAGACTTTCACGTGATCTCGGAAGGTACAACATTGATTACTTGGAGTGATATTCGACGAATACGAGCGTCCTTTCCGACAAACGCTCAGACGCTGTATAGGCTAAAGAGTAACAGTTTTCCGCTCTGGAATTGGGCGAAGCAAGACCTGTCTTGCACGGTCCCTGAGTGTGCGAATGCTGGTTCAGCTCTGGCAAGCCATATCTTTTGGACATGCTCTAGTGCGCGTCGTCACTGGGAGTTTCTCCTTGATCGGTGGCGATGGCTTGGAAATTTTCAGGAGGCTGAATTGAATGTTTGGGTGTTTGGCCTGGACCTCCCGGCGATTCCACCCTACGCCTGGGATGTAATTAAGCAATCCATGGACCCAGGCTCTAATTAATCAAAAGCTCAGGCTGCTATATTTCCGGCAGCTAGAGATCTGTGGCGTTTTGTCATATCAACGACCCTTCATGCAATCTGGGTCGAGCGCATCCGCCGCATGGAAGACTCGTCGTTATCACAGGAGGTGCACACAGCCAGCGCCAAGACGAGCTTTCGTCGGTCGGTCCGACGGTTTCGGCGATCAACCTATCAGCCCAAGATGGGGGAAGATGGGCAACTGTTTGCGCACGTACGGTCGGCCTTGGCTGATACCCTACTCTGCTACGATGAACCTCCTTCGTTACTAGTCCGGCCTATCCGACCGGTTCCCTGGCGAGCTTTACCTCCTCTTCTTTGACGGCGGATCCCGCGGAGATCCAGGTCCAGGTGGAGCCGGGTCTGTGATTGTACGACTACACGTTCCGACTCACGCCGCATGCGTTCTGTGGGTATCAAGTATGGCTTATGCATCTGCCGATACCACTAACAAAGTTGCTGAATATTGGGGGCTCGTGCATGGTCTTCGGCAAACAAAGTAAGGCGACTACTCGCCCCTGCACGTCATTGGGGACAGTGCGCTTGTACTTTCTCAACTCCGAACACAACACCCTCCACGCAAGCCGCACTTGGTGCGTTTGTTCAACGAAGCACGTGCCATCGCTAACGATATTGATGTCGCCAGCTGGGGACATCAATACCGCACCTTCAACAAAATGGCGGATCGACTGGCAAATATCGCTATGGACACGAGATCTTCTATTCAAACGCACGCTTTCTCGAACCCAGGTCTGGTCCAGGAGGCTTTAAACTTCCTTGACACTGATGTCAATCATTGGTTGGAGACCTCTCAAGCCGACCATCAACTCGTCATACAGGGCCCCGGGCTGACCTCGAGGAACCTGATTATCTCGAGACAGGAGTCTGCGCGTAGGCGCTCTGCTGTGCGAGGACTAGCGCTACCTAGTATATAAAGTAGCGGTCGACCAGGTAACTTTGTTGCCGGATGACAGGATATAGCAGGTCGTACGCGTACCTAAATATACCTCACCTTCTCATTCACTCTAATTGGACAGCAGTATGCGCGGGCCGATAACTGGAATAAGTATATGGTCTCTCTAGAGCCGACTTGAACTAGACCGAGAGAAGACTCATACTGTAAAGCTACGCGCTCAGCTCTCCATAGCTATCACAATTACCAAAATCAACTTCTTAGCCTGGCATTATTGTCCTACTCCCGTTGTTCTTCCCCATCTTCACAGCATCATATTGACTTTGTACGGGGCGTCCGAGATGGAAGCGGTCACGTCCCTAGGTCTCTTCCGAGGTAGCTACTTTACCGATCCAGCAAGGTCGAAAAGTGATGCCTTGTATCGGGACGAAATCGATGGATGTGGCGGCAACAGCAGCTGATCACCGGGCAGATACTGTTTCTTCGAGAGACTTACCGATTGGAAATAACTTATAAGGGTGTATATGATTTGTTCTGGTTTATGATTCGCCTTTTTGAACAGACGACAAGCCTCCTCGATATCGAGCAAATCTCTGGCTAACCGGATCTCAGTTAAGCGGAATTTTTGCGGCTAGACATGCCCACCAAGGTGCGGTCAGGTAGGTCGACGCAATTGAGTAGCAGTAGGCTGTCTTGTTGCGTTCTTTTGTGCAAGCAGCTTTGCATTCCATTGTCTGAGATGCGAACTCCGAACTAGTGGACTAGAGCAAGACGTAGAAGCCATAATTCTTCATCCAGTGCTTCAATTGGATCACGCTGTGAGGTTAATGACTCGTAGATCAAGCCCGACCTCTATCGTTGCAGTTGTAGATACGGGGCTTTTTATACAGTAAATTTGTGCTCGAGTGCAATATTCAGGAGCCGTACCATTATTTCATCACAGACGTGCTGTCTCATTTATATCGAGTGCCGCGGTTGCTTATGATGACGACACTAGTGTCAAGTTGATGTTCGGCGGGTAATTCTGCACACTACGCTTTAATATGAGAGCTGACGTAGCGGTTTCGGGTCGATTTGACCCCCGTTGGCGATTTCACGCCAAGCTCAAGGATATGTCGTGGCTGCAAGGTAAACGGAATGAGGCAAATGTAGAGCGTAATTGGCGCCGAATTTCCGAATGGTTTGAATTACCTTGGTAAGACATTGTCTCGGACGACCCTGCAGAGCGGCTTTGTTTTGTTCTCTGCCACGCGTAATCATTCAACATATTATATTGCGAAGCGATAAGATTTTGGCTCCTTCTACCTAGCCCTTCTTTACAATTTCAGTCCTTCGTATATCGGTCTCTGGAATGTGAATCTTTAATTTGCTGATCAACGAAAGTGCACCAGTTTCATGACTGGAATGTTGTAAGTGACGGTGCTTTGCTGAAGCATTTCGAATAGGGCATGAATTAGAGGGTGCAACTGGATAAGTCATTGGCGGTATAAATAAAGCGGCTTATTCCGCATTTGCGCACTTCTTTCGAGGTATGGTACATTGTCGCCTTTGTTTGTTATCCGGTCGTTATCCATCCACTAGGGCCAGGTGCAGCAAGAGTATACACAACACATTCAAAATGCTCAGTGGTCGGTATCCGATAGCGGCTTTACAACGGTGGCACAAACCAACTCAGGCCGCAGCTTTTCAACCCCTCACTAGCGCTGGATAGAGTCGGTTGTTCTCCGTCAAATTTCTGCCGTTTACCCGCTGCAGCGACAGCCCACCCTGTGCAGAGCTCTCAAAGTTTCTCATTTCCGTGACCAGTATCTAAAGAATAACCAGTACTTGAGCTTCACTAATGATGGTATGACTAAAGTTGATCAAAGTGTGTCCAGTCATGCCTGATAGGTATAGCAAAAGGAAAGGTAGTGCACGGACAAGAGTCTCGAAATTAGACCGGCTGGAAGTTGTCCATGTATTGACATGCCTGGCTTATAGGCAATACATCCGGTAAAGAGGCCATACATTTGAGCTGGATAGCCTAGCGCCGTACCATTGCAGAATTCTCGGCAGTTGCTTAGTTCTGTCAGGGACAGCCGCCGCTGCTACCTCCGTTGAAGTGACATCAGGTATTTTTCGGATACGGGTTGCACGCAGCGTCTAAAAATGCGCGTCGGTTGTTCGCGTGGTGGTGACATCAGATGGTGCTGCTAATGTATTAGCTACCCTTGGAATTTCGCGTCCGCGAAACGCGCCAGTGTCAGAATCACAGGCAAGTGAACAAGTAGATGTCAGCTGGGTGCTAGGTGATTGCTCAATCTCTGCATCAATAGCATTGACCAGATCGGCGGGAATAGGGATACTCGTAGTGCACTGAGGAGGTGTCACGGCAATGACTTTTAGGTCATCCCAGCGCAGGGTATCGCCAAAAAAATAAGATTGTAACGGGGCACCCTGAAGCTTGTACTGATGACAGTACAAGCTACTTATTCTGATGACAGAATAAGGCGGTGCCTCGTAACTTCACGTACACTGGTACGTGCAGAGGAAGACGGTAAGAAGAAGTGAGTACTTCGTTAAAGAAAAAAGTAGAACTGTATTTGTCATAGTTAATGTCTGTTAATAAATCACTATTTATCCTCATCTAACTATGTCTGAATACAAATGTGTAAATCAGTTATCTGCTCACTACTCATTGCGTGCGTCTGTCGTGGCGCGTCTTCGTTGGTTGATATGATGGCCTATATCAACCAATTTGGGACAGGGTTTGCACTTGTTGGTCCGAGTCCACTTTCCAAAATCTCATCGCATGGTTAACAAGCCCATGCGATGCGCGAGCAAGGCCGCCGAGAGCGCGTCCGCACGTCTCTGTGCGGACGCCGAAGCAGGAACAACAGCAACTGATGTCTCATCGGTTGCTGAAGCGACTCAGCCTGTGTCACTTGGTGATGCAGGCGCTGGTCATGAAGACACTCATGTCTTCACAGAGTATGAGATCGGTGTCTCGTACTCTCCTGATACGGAAGACGGATCCGTACCGACGGCGATGGTGGCATGGACGATGCTTTGCGTCGCAGCATCTTTGGTTCATCTGATGAATCAGATGAACCATCGCCGAAGCGAAGGCGCTCGAGGTCGCGAGACTCGGGCGCTCACAGTGGTGTCGGTTCTCCTATGGACACCACTTCGCAACGAGGTGCCAGTCCTTCTGTCGGCACATCGCAGGAAGAGCGGGACCGCAATGTGTTGCGTCTCGCTCCTGAGAAGAAGGCATGGATGCCTCCAAAATCCGTCATGGATCACTTTTCGGCGACGACGAGTGATCGTTATCGAACACGATTGTTCGATTCGTCAAGGATCCATCACCTTGACCCCAGCGCGAAAAACTATCGCGCTGAACATGAATTCTTCATCGATGCTTTCTTTAGACATCGATGGTACAGTGGGAATCACAAACGTGATGGTCCCTCACTACTTCAGGCGTGGAACGCCTACATCCATAACCTCGAGGATGTAGGTCGTGACGCTTGGAACGACAAACTTATCAAAGCTCGTGATAAGTTTGAAAAGCGAACCCCGACAGGTGCACGCTACAAGCTGCATCGCCTGTCAAGGGAGAAAGGATTACCCTGCCTCTACTGGGGAGACTCGTGCCCATGTTGTGTGAACAACTCTGCGCGCGCACCTAAGGAGGCTTACCTCCTTACCAGCCCGTGGTGGCGCGCACGTATGTCTACTGAGATGTACGAAGGGATTGACAACCTGAAATCCCTTTACGACCGTGCCGGGAAGACTTTCTCCGGCGGTCTTTCTGCGGCACAGGATGTGCCGCGTCGTACTGCTCAACCAGACCCAGTACGTCAATCATCAGTCGGAAGCGGGGCTCCCAAGAATCCCAGGACGGGGGATAGCCGCGCCACCGGACGAGATAACTCGTCCGACGTCCGTTCACGTCGCGGTGGTTCAACAGCTGCTCAACTAGATAGCGCTGGCCACCGCGAGAGTCCTCTAATGGAGGTGGAGGAGGAGGAAAGACGCTCTCCACACGATCATGGGGATCGGTGTGTACCCGAGAGCTTCTTTGATCGCGTAACGCAAGGGTTACGCGACGATCTCGAACATGAGCGGAATAGGCGTCTCCAAATGGCGGACACTGCCTCGAAGCATCGAGCTGAGTTTGCCTTTGCTCAGCTCGAGAACGAGAGATCTCTGACATCTCTTCGTGACGAGCTAAGGGTAGCTCGTGGGATTGCTGATCGGTCTCGGGATGAGATAACTGCTCTTCAGACCCTTGTTGATGCCCACCATCGGGAGCACAAGGCTCTCTGCGAGATGCTTGAGCGCAAGGGCGTTCTTCATCGGAAGAAGCAGCGTACTGATGGTACGGCTTAAGCCGACCAACGTAAAACGTGGGATGCGTTCGCATCTTACGTGGTAATTCGATCGTGTATGCATTGCCTAGGCGGTGCAATACACGAAATGGGCCAATGTACTTGGGTAGTAGTTTACTGCTACCCAAGTTAGTCACTACATGCTTTGGTAGTTTAACCGTAGACAGTAGGACTAAGTCACCTTTATTAAATAAAAGATTGTTTGCCCTTCCATTCTTATCAGCGTTTTGCTTTTGCTTATCCACCGCTTCGGCGATGGAGTTTTGCACAAAACGGACTACCGTTTCACGAGCCAGTATGAACTCATCTGATGACTCGTTAGCTTCAGTGCGCTGTGGGCGCACTGCAGCAACATCAAACTTTTCTTCAGTGAGGGCTTCCGCACTCTCACTGGCATCATCTTCTTCGATATCGATGTTATCGATGTCGGCATCAAACGCAATAACCTCTTCGTCAGAGCGTGATGAGCGTGAACCAAATAGTTTTTTGCTGGCGCGAGTCCCTCCACCCCTTAAACCAGAGTTACACTCTAGTAAGGTGGGTACACACGGATGGCGTAAGCCATTCACGTAAAACGGTGTTTGGGTCGCGGACGCATGCACCGAGTTGTTAGTGGCAAACTCTACCATTGGCAAGAACTCACTCCAAATCTTAAAGGAGTGTACGTATCCTCGAAGTATCTCTTCAAGGACACGATTGGCACGTTCCGTCTGACCATCTGACTCAGGATAACCAGATGTTGACATCTTCAAGCGCGTTCCGAGTGATTTGAACACGGAACGCCAGAAATCAGCAGTGAATCGTGGATCTCTGTCTGATACGAGTTCACGGGGCAACCCATGAAGTCGGAAGATGGTGTCAATAAAGACACAAGCACAGCCACTTGCCGTGATTGTCTCTGGTACAGCCACAAGGTGTAGCATTTTGCTGAATCTGTCAACAAATACGAGAATACCCGTATTACCGCGTGCGTCTTTGGGTAACCCAAAGACGAAGTCCATTGAGATGGATTCCCAGCACTCAGCCGGAACCGGTAGAGGCTGTAGAGGTGCACGCAGTGAAGGACTTGACTTCACTCGTTGGCAGACTTCGCATGCGCGAACATACTTTCGCACAAACTGATACTGGCGGGGCCAGTAAAAGTCTCGACTCACCGTGAGATATGTTTTCTCACGGCCACGATGTCCTCTTATAGGAGCATCGTGATACTCGAACATGATCCGCAAACGCAGATCAGTATCATCTGGCATGACAACACGTGGTGTGTCACCAGTAACGGCTGTATAGTGCTGTAAACCGTTGCGAGTAGTGTATCGGTATGATGCAGATCGATACGCAGACGACAATCGTTCCAACGATTCTCGAGATGGTTGTGAGAGATGTGTCAACAACTTCATAATCTCACCATCTTGGACGTATGCCCGCCTCACATCATCATACAACGTTGTAGCTGGGACTGAGGACGTCATAACCGCAACAGTGACTGTCTCACTGTTGGGTTTCACGACTGGTTCAAAGTCGGGACGACGTGAGAGTGCATCAGCGATGACATTGAGTCGTCCTGGTTTGTACTCGACCGTAAAGTTGTATTCTGCAAAGAATGACAACCACCGCGCCATTCGTTGTGAAAGGTGCGGGCTGTTTACTGCCGTGTGTAACGACGCATGGTCAGTGTAAACAATGAAGGATCTATCTCCTAATAGATAGACTCTGAACTTCGCGAGTGCATACTTCATGGCAAGGAGTTCCTTGTCATGCACTGGATAGTTCCGCTCAGCTGGTTGCAGCTGACACGACTGATAGCAGACGACGCGTTCAACGCCTTCAAGATCGTACTGCATTAATGCACAGCCGATTGCGAAATCGCTAGCATCACAGACCACATGAAATGGCCTGTCCTGATCGGCTATTGCTAGGACTGGAGATTGTATCTAGCTCTGCTTGATACCATCAAAGGAGAGCTGACATTCAGCGTTCCATAACCACCTCTCGTTCTTTTTCAACAAACGAGAGAGGTGCACAGTCATTTCGGCGTAATTACGTGAATACTTATTCAAATACGCTGCTAGCCCAAGGAATTTTCGAAGACCTTTGACATCAACCGGCACAGGCCAGTCGGTGATCGCCTTGATCTTTTCGGGATCAGGACGTACACCTTTCTTACTAACGATGCACCCAAGAAGTGGTATTTCGCTTGCTGCAAATATACACTTCTTGAGGTTGCATACAGTTGATGCTTTCGCATGATTGTAAGAACTTGTCGGACGTGGTACCTGTGAACCTCAACATCCGACTTTCCATTCATAGCCCGACTATGGATGAATATGTCATCGAAATAACTCGACGCGAATTCTCGTACTGGTCTCAAAAGATGTGATACACATCTGTTGAACGTGGCAGGGGCATTACTAAGCCCTTGTGGCATTACTAGCCATTCCCAGAGCATGCCGCTAGGCGTGCTAACTGCGGTATAGGGTATATCCCGTTCCCGCATAAGGATTTGATAGAAGCCATCCATCAAATCCATGGACGAAAAGATGGTACTCTTTGACATACCATCAATGATTACGTCCTTCCTCGGTATCGGCGTCTGAGCCGGTACCGTTGCAGCATTCAACTTGTTAAACGCATGCACTATCCGCCACCCTTCTGTTGCTTTTCGCACACAGAAGGTCGGAGATCTCTGTGGGGAAGTTGATTCCCTCACATGGCCCGCAGCTAAACGATCGGCAAAGAACTTGTCGATCGCAAGTACTTGTTCACGAGGCAGTGGCCACTGCTTCATGACACAGTACTTCGAGCCTGGTTTAAGCTCGACCTCGTGTCGAATACCTTTATCCTTCGGTAATTCGCACGGAACAGCTTCAGGGAATACATCGTTGAATTCAACCAAATCTTCATAGAGAGGATTTGTCTTGAGCGATTCCCACGATTGGGAATCATATCGCTCAACTCGTGTCTTTTCATCTAGGACACTCTCGTCCATAGATGAACTACTGAGAACAATCTCGTTCTCAGTGAACACTGTTGCTGACCTTATGTCGGCTACACACTCGTCGTCAGCGACGAGTACGCAGATCTGCTTGACTTTGCCACTACGCAGATCACGCAAGAACCTTTTATGTTCGAGCGTTGGCAACTGAGTGATCTCCGAAGTCAACTTCGGAGGCGCAATCAGATCAAGTGTATAAGCGCCTACGCTTGATCCGTTATTGACTTTGACATTCATTGTCTCTGTAATTTCCTGGGGACTTATTCCCTCAGGCTTCGAAGGACTTATTCCTTCGGCTTCCCGGGGACTTATTCCCGTGGGTTTCGGGGAACTTATTTCCGCCGTATTTGTAATCTTGGGACTTATTCCCTTTACTTCCTCTAGCTGGGGTTGCGCAACCATAGCGAGATCCTCTACGAAAGACTCTCCAGTCGATCTAGGATTATCGTTTCGCTTAACCTGAGCGATCGATTTTTTCTCTTCTAGATGTTCCCCGGTAGGGATACATCTTTGTACCGGTCCACTCAACTTATTCGAGTGGTGGACCTTCGGCTGTTTCCTCACAGCCGCCGGAACTTTGCTCCGAAGTGTAACCGTTTGTTACACTAAGGTTTTGTGCAGTCGTACTAACGACCGTACCACAAGTGAGGCCATCGCACTCACTCGTAGTACATCCACACGCTTGTGGACGCTCCAAAACGTTCATCAGATGGCCATCTGATGAACAAGCGGCAGGCATCGTTACTGTCCGATGTTGCCAGTTTACCCGTGGTTCGTACCTTCTGAGCCACGGTATTCCAAGGATGACATCAAATTTGTCATCCAAATCCAATACGATAAAGTCATCGTCATATTGGGTATCTTCTAGCGTATAGTGGATCTTCACTATACGCTTCATGACGGTTACGGATGCGCCTGTCGCAAGACGTACCGTCATCCTCGTAGGAGGTGTGTCACATTCACTGAACTTAAAGTGACCATCTTCTAGCGATTGGCGTCGCACAAAATTGTTGGACGCCCCACAATCGACTAGAGCTCGAAGGGACAACTTATTCGTCACTTCGAGTTTCAAGGTAATGAGTGAGACCTCATTACCTAGAGCAGCAACGCACAACGTCTGTGTGTTGGGAGCAACCTTCATCAAGAGGCCTACAAATTCTCTTGACGTTGCTGGATCAGTAGGGTGCTCCGCACCTACTGATCCTGTCCGTTTTTTGACGGTCCATCCCGTTGTTGCGTCTTTGCACCAACTGCGGACCCTCGTCCCTGCCCCTTTCTCATGGGTGGACGGTCACTACGCCCAGTGTCGCGAGACACTGGACGAGGGGCACTACACTCGTAAGCGTAGTGTCCTGTCTTTTGACATCTGTTGCATCTCTGCAACTTCTTGTAGCCTGTAGAGCGAGCCTTCTCGCTCTCTACATAACAGAGTTCCATCGGCTCTGGACCTCCGTTGTCATATCGTCTCGGTTGACGATATGATGTCGAGCTGGCGCGAGCCTGTCTCAGACTGAAGTCTTCCTGCTCCGCAATGGAAATGGCTTGTTCTAGTGAATCTAGTTCAAGCCGGAACAGGTGAGTCTTGACGGGACCATCCGCAAGACCCTGCATGAACACCGAAACCAACGTGTGTTCATCCACCGGATTGGAACTTATACAACTCGTGAGATGTCGTATATGTTGCATGTAAGCGTGCACATCACGCTTACCCTGTTTGAGCTTCAAGAGTTCGGTTCGAGCCCTGAACTCAGCTCTAGGCGGTTCAAACGTTTGTCTGAGCCGCGACTTGAAGACTTCCAACGACCCAAACGCATATGGGTCGTGCAACTTGAGCCCCAGTGCCCAAGTCTTGGCACGTCCTGCCAGATTTGACTGGGCAAATGCAACTTGCATATCCCCGTCGTCGATGCGACGCGCCCTTATGGCGTCATCCAATTCGACGAACCATCTCAAGAGGGAGTCTTCTTCGACCCCCTATACTTGGAGATGTCAATCTTCAAGGTTTCGGGTCGACGCGAGTGCATCGACCCACCAGCAGCAGCCTGCTGCTGTCTCAACAGTTCAAACTGTTGAGCACCCTGTTCTCTCAACAACTCTGCTTGTTGAGAACCTTGTTGGTGAAGCAAGGCTACTTTCTCGCGTTCTGCGTCAAGTTCATTTTGAATGAACTTGGCGATAGTAGCATGTTGGGCATCTCTATTGAGAGCCTCTAGCATGACGCTAACAGCATGGATGCCCATGGTCGAACCCATTCGTTCAACCGCATCCCATTCGACATCGCTCAAATGGGAGTAGCCGTCACGCGTAGCGTGAAAGCTTTGGTCATCTTTCATCATCCAACATATTCATGTTGGATGTGAACGTGGTCCTTGGACGGACTACGAAGTGCTACCAGGTGTAACGGGGCACCCTGAAGCTTGTACTGGTGACAGTACAAGCTACTTATTCTGATGACAGAATAAGGCGGTGCCTCGTAACTTCACGTACACTGGTACGTGCAGAGGAAGACGGTAAGAAGAAGCGAGTACTTGGTTAGAGTAAAAGTAGAACTGTATTTATAATAGTTAATGTCTGTAATAAATCACTATTTATCTTCATCTAACTATGTCTAAATACAAATGTGTAAATCAGTTATCTGCTCACCACTCATTGCGTGCGTCTGTCGTGGCGCGTCTTCGTTGGTTGATATAATGGCCTATATCAACCAATTAGGAACTACTCGTAAGTGCTACAGAATATTCGTCCTTATGACAATATTCTGAGAATATAACTCGTATAGTTATATACTATTAACAATTTCTTATAAATTGTTATGTAACGATTCACCCCGTTACAAAGATGCTCTCTGCCACAGGAACGTCGAGGCTGTGTGTATCTAAGATAATAGAGGCAGGGGCGGTGATAGACGCTGACTGTAGCGGAGCTACACAGTTCCTTTTGTCAAAGCAAGACTTAAAGAGCGCTATTGGTTCTAAAGAAGTAGACTCTATGAGTCAACAAGCGTAAAGCTTAAGGTCCCTGTTCCAGGGGACCGATCGATTTAGTGATTCTACTACATTTAGTGCTCAAGAGTAGCTACCTCAGGGAGGTTTTGCTAACTCTTAACGATGTACGATCGGAGACGCCTCGCAAGGCACGTGTCTTGGACAAGGTCAAAGAAGAGCTCAACTTTATTTACTTTAACCCTTTCGAATATCTTGATTCTAACATTACCTAATCAAGGCACTCATGTTCTAAATTAAAAATCGTCACGATCTTTCCCATCTTATGACTGACATCCGTCAGCCCCTATAAACCGATACGATGTTCTAAAACTCTTTCACTGGGATACCATCCTGCGTGTCTAAGACACAGGGCACCGAGTACCCTACGACGTGTAACCTCTATACTTTGGAGCTCCTCGGGGCACTCCGCACACGCAAGAGTGATCGCCCATTTGTGCACCCTAAACCGGCCGCACCGTCGAGTTCATTTGAATCGAGCAATACGTTCGATGCAGACGTGGCTGCCATTATCGCACTGCGAATAAACGCGGGCAGCAACGCGTACGAGCGCTCATTACAGGCCGTAATAACAGACGGCGGATCTCCACAACAGCAGCCTGAGATGGTTACCAACCAACTCAACCTTTGAAACCAACGGACATCTCCAGCGATTTTAACGCGGGGTTAACAGGGTAGTTCCTGGTCAGGCCAAGTCCCGTCGTCTCCGTTTTCGACAGCGATAGAGAGATAGAGAGTAAAGACATTGAGCAGTGTCTACTCTGTAAACACTTTGTGTACACTAGAATGGTCATGTCACAAGCACTTGCTTCGAGTCTTCTGCTGTCTTGTTGTTCTCAAGCTGCAACCGTTCGAGAGCATGGAGCTACATCGAGCTGCAAACTTTAGCTATTTGTTTGAGCTTACGCTAAGCCCTTACGTATAGTTAAAGGTGTCCGAACTTGCGGTCAGCTGCGGCTTTCTGATCGTTAAGTCTGAGCCATTATGTCAGCGCCGGTCGTGATGGTTGTGATGTCATTTGTGGCTGGTTAAGCTTGTTCCACCCGCTACAGCGAATGAGCAGTCCATGAACAAGTGCCCCGATATCTCCACTCCCCACCTAGACAGCCTGGTTGCTTTCTGCACGTATCGATCTCGAGTGGCCCCGCATCGTGCAAGCTGAGTTGCGTCGTCGCGACCCGATATTCCGTCCCCACGTTCGGTCCATCTCCAGGGCACGCCATTGGTTTCTTGGTGTAGCGGTATGTTCTGCGTTGGATCCTGCGCAGTATCCGTTGCTCGACCTGCGATGACGCCTCCCAAGTCAACAACTTAACATAGGACGAGAGAACTGGGGAAGCTCGACGAAGTCGTAGTGCTTGATTCCGGCGAGTACTCGTTCAAATGGTGATGGCTGGCGAGGAAAGCAAAACAAAGTGCTGCCCAGTGCAGTAATGTAGCTGCAGAGTGAGAACTGGATCGGATAACGAGCCTAAGTGTCGTCAGAACAAACTTCTCTGGCCCCACACGTGCCAGGTCGTTCTCAACTTATGTAGTACAAACGATTCGAGGTCACGAGTTTACATGCTGCACCGCAAGGATGTCTGACATCGTGTACCGAGTCGAGTCTACGACATTGACGTCTTATACTCCGCCAAATTGATAGAGTCGCACAACCCCATCCAATTACTGATGTCTCGACGCAGCTATAGCATCGCCCGTTGAATTATTCACGCCACACCGCCTAGTTAGGGCGTTGCAGGATAGCGTTCAACACAACCTTTCAATGGGTCGTCTTGGACGCTACAAAGCGTCAAGACTGCAAGGGTGCACGCAACATCTGATCGTGATAGCCTGGGGCGTCATCATTCATAGTGATGATGATTTTCAACACTTGATTGAGCCGCGCTGTGGTCGTTCACTAGATACGGTCATGCATCAGCGAAGTTTGGTGGTGATCGATAGCGTCTGCTTGCTGCAAGCACCTAAAAATCACATGCACGGCCTTGAAACGAGTGCTAGCAGCTTGTAGGCAGTGGGAGGCGCTCGCTAACCAAATGCTGATTCACAATGGAAATTCACAGTTCTGAACACCGCGAGAACGCGTTGGAACGTGTGAGGCTGGGCAATCTACACCATTAATCGGAAAGCTGCAGCGTATAAGGTGACACCCTGATCGTGACCACTGCCGAGCGTCTCATCAAGGGTCACGTTGTGACGCGAACCAGGGCGAGGACTGCATGAAGACTGTACCTAGATTCATGCACAAAGAGACCAAGAGAAATCCTTCGAGACATCAGAAGTTCTGGAACGAAGTGCTATTAACTTTGATATTAAAGCTTAGAAAGCTGAGGAAAACGAGGCACGGCACTCTCCTCCAAGTTGCTGTCGAAGGCGGCGGCGGCGAGACTTGGTGTCACCGTCAAGTTACCAGCTAAACCAGCGGTCAATTCGCTGGAAAAGACCATTGTCCAGATATTTTGTGTTGGTTACCATCTCCTTGTGCTCTACTAGTGGTGTTGTATGTGGTTGAGCATGCACGGTCCCTGTGCCGCTTAATGAGGTTCCCTTCCGCTCTTCTTCACTTGTCGCGGTGGCGGTTGATGATCTCCTAAGGTTAAGACTCGGTCCAGGAGCCACTGCGAGGGAGTTCTTGTCTGAAGCAGCTGTCCCGCTTGTGTATTGGACGTAATCGTGGGCAGCACTGGCGAAGTCAGAGGCAGTGAGGGATAGGAGTATTGTGATGGTCAGAAAGACTTGGGTGAGCTGCATGGTTTCGGTAGACTCTTGAGACGTGAAGTGGGTAGTTGGACGCTAATTGTCAAATGGAGATCTCATCTGCAGAGGCGGCTCATGCGCTGCCTGTCCCTTAAACAGAGCGCTTGCCTGAGTAGATCAAAGGCGATGGGAGGGTTTTAACGGCTGGTGAGGATTGCGACTGGGGTACAGATCTTGGCTTGGTATGGACAGGTCCATTAGTGACACTGACGCGAACACACTGCACGGGACAAAGGTTTTGTCTCATGGACCATGATCACGGGAGACATGTCCCTTCCACCGAGAGCAAAGCCTTACCTACTATTCCTTAGTCCAGACGCGTATCTTTTGGTGCTAAACACTCACCACTCCCAGGATTCATGACGTGAGAGCTGGCTACGAAAGGCTTCTTGCGCGTCACTCACGTTCTTAGCTCTTCCGGTGATGCAATTGTCATCATCGTATCTTGAGCTTCGTTTGCTTGATCTTGGCAATGGCCACTGGATTCATGGATTCGTTCTGCATCAAAGCTTATGATTGCGGATGCCGAGCAAATGTACAACTGCGTGATCGAGGACACCCGCATTCGAAGTCGAGGTTTGCTTCGCGACTTCGTGGCTGTCGATGTTAGCTTCAGTTTCAGTAGCATTTTTTGCTGTAGGTTGTTGACCGCCGGGCAGAAACGGCAGGAGCTGAGGCTTGCATCAAACGTTTATACGTGTGCTCTTCCGATCCCTGTTTTTGTCTATGACCAACAGCATGCTACATGGCACATAAGCAGCGACCTCGAAGTTCGTCGCCATGTCAGTGTGTAAGCTACCCAACAGTTTCCACTCAAACTTGCATCCCGTCATTCAAACAAAACCGTGTCACGACCGGTCTTCCTGGGCACCGCAATAGGAAGTACTCGATGAATATAATATGGCGATCGCCTGACGTTGATCTACAAGCAGAGAGCTGCTTTCGACTGCTAGCTCAGAACCATACTCCTATTTCAAGATGCTCAACGATCATCAATCAGCTCACAACAGCTCAACGTATGAAGGTTAACGCGTGAAGGCGATGTTCTTGACCGATTGCAGCTGGACGTCAGATCAAGCTTGGTAACAAGACTCTTGCCTTGTTGCAGCAACCGCGCCAATGGATCGAAAGGAAAAGAACGGCATGATATGTAGGTAGTCAAAGCAGGTGTCAGGAGCAAAACGACGGCAGTGCACCACGCTCTAAATTAAAGTTGATGGGCGCCGACATTGCCAAACGTTGCTTATCCCTGCGCCCTCGTCATAGCTGCGTTCCTATCAGATAGTAGGCCCACTCTACGCAGGTCGTTCACGTGAGTCAGCCACGCTAGCCTTGCACGGGCTATCCTTCGCTCCAAGTGATCTAGAACGACGGCGTCGAGTCAACCTTTTTATGATCTGCATCGTAATCTAAAACTCACGATAAAACGAATGGTTGCGGACTCCTGAGTGGCGACGGCGATGGGGACTGCCCACCATCTGGAAACATCTACAGCATCTGGTCGACGCAGTCGAGTCGAACTGGACGTTCCACTGGCTTGGCTTGTCATTTTTACATGTAAATCAGGCTGATTACTAAACGCACGCGCCGATGATTACGATAGCGACGATCGCCTGGTAGCGACATAGCCAACGAGCATTATCCTACACTGTGGATTGCTGAGGGCGTTTCGCGAGGGATGAGGGGTTGAGGTGGAGTCGAAGACACTGCGTTCTTTACCATGATGACTTGAGTTTGTCAGTCGACACCACGTCGCCGTACTGTTTGACGAGAAAGACATGAGTTAACCGGCACTGGCATCGTACGGACCTTTTTTCATCCGCGGGAAAACAATCCATTTAGATTCCTGCTTCGCTCGATTCATTGATCGTCTGTATCGATCGGAAGAAGCAGGAATCTGAATGGACTGTTTGTTCCTACTGCGTGGCTAGAGTGGAAACGGGCATGTCATCCAGGTAGTGCCTCCATTGTATTGGAATCCCTATAGGCCATGTATGCACAAAAAGGAGGCTGCAGACCGAAGAGACGGGGGTCTTCATCGGGTCAGTAATAGCGTGAATACGGTCGGAAGCACGTGATGTCGTGGCAGCGTTTTCTGATCTGTAGATGGCGTAGGAATGCCACGTTTACGCTAGTAATCGAGCTTCTGACAAGAACGGGACACACACCTGGTCTTCCGAAGCCAGCTCTTTTGACGCGGGTGCTCGGAGGGGTGAGGATGCACTCACGAGAAGATTCGTACCAAAAGTGTGGGAATTGCACGAAATGCTTTGCTCTGCGCAGGGTGACATCCCTCTATGCTCGTGGTTACTTAGTCAAAGCCCCTTGTCCGTCCAGTGTGTGCGCGTCAGTGTCAACGATGGACCTATACGGACTAAGTCAGGATTTGTGCACCAGTCGCAAGTCCCGCCAGCCAACGAAAATCTCCCCATCGTCTAGTCTAGACATAATGGATATAGTATGCTAAGCCAAGCGCTCTGTTTGAGTGACAGGCAGCGCACGAGCCGCCTCTGCGTACTGGACCTTCACTTCACAACTATCGTCCACCTACCCACTTCACCTCTCAAGAGTCTGCCGAAACCGTGCACCTCAACCAAGTCTTTCTGGTCGTCACCCTCATTCAATCTCTCACTGCCTCTGACTTCGCGAGTGCTGTCAACGACTACGTCCATCAAGCAAGCGGGACAACCAACATGAGGGACTCGTTCGCAGTGGCTCCCGAACGGATCGATAACTTTGGGGAGTCAACAACGTCCACCGGCGCTGCAGCAAGTCAAGAAGAGCGATTAATACCTGCAGTCGCTATAGGGCGCACACACGCCATCCTGCCAAGCGTCGTAGCTCCATCAGAGCCGACAGAGATGGTAACTAACTCACAATATTTAAACAACGGCGTTCTTCAGCGATTGGAACGCTTCATCAGCGATATGTTTGACTGGATCACCAAGTCGCGCCATCTCCGACGGCTATGAAGAGAGAGGGTAAGAGAGAGAACTGGTCCACCTACATGAGCTTTAATATCAAAATCAATCCAGCATTTAGTTCCACACCTTTTGTTCGTCTCGTAGGATTTACCTGGTTGTCTTTGTCAATTGCTCTCGATGTCAGTTTTCGTATCGGACTCGCCGGTCGGTTCGCGTCACAATGTGTCTTTTACTGATACGCTCGGCGATCACATCCTCTTCTCGGTACGTAGCGCGGTCACTGGAAAAGAGGCAAGAGCTATGTCATCAGTCTCGATCTAATGTCCAGCTACACTCGATCTAGAGCATCGAGCTTCAACCATTGATCTAGAAACGTTGAGCTTTTTTAAGCCCGTCGAGGATTTGTTAAGCAGCAAGCGTCTTGAAATTTAGGACTTTGACTCTGAGCTTGCAGTCGACTATAGCTCTCTGCTTGTGGATCAACGTCAGGCGATCGCCATTTTTAGTTCAGCGAGTAGTTCCTATTGCAGTGCCAAGAGGGACCGGTCGTGACACGTTTTTCGTTTGAATGACGGGATGCAAGTCTGAGGTATTGCAAAAGCAGTGTTTGCTACTGGACCGGGCCGGAGGGTGTTCTACACCGACTGCACAGCATTCTTGCGCATTGCGCCAGCTAAAGGGCGCTGGATGATCAAGTGTGGTTACCGAACTTCTCAGCCGGGACCATCCCGACGAAACGAACGAAGATGTCGTCGTACGGAAGATATTGTGGCGTATTTTTTAAGCGGCGTAAGCCATGTCTGTTTATGGATCCAACGGAATTCCATCACGTTTTTACAGGAGAGCGTTGCGATCGCCGGCCGCGTCCATGTCAGCGCCAAGCGCTGTGACCTCAGGTTTCAAGCCCCGTACAACCACCGGAATGGAGCGAGGAAATGGCGTGGCTAAGTAGGCTACGGATACACCAGACACCTTACAACACGTAATGGATAAAAGACTAGCCTACCTCTCTCTACAAGTTTGAGTTGAGAAGCCTACAGAGTGACGTGATGACGGGCTTCCAGGTCGCTGCCATTGACGAAAAACAGGGATCGGAACGAGCACACGTATGAGCTCCTGCCATTTTTTTGTGTTCGGCGGTCAACAATCTACAGCGACTGCTGCTGAATCTGAAGCTAGCAACGACAGCCACCAAACCGCGTAGCCAACCTCGATAATGGATGCTGCCACTTTCAGTCACCACAGTCGTACATTTGCTAGGCATCCACAACTCCCACCTTTAGTGCAGGCGAATCCATGAATCCAGTGGCGATTGCCAACGATCGTGCTGGGAGTGGTGACTGTGTTTACTCACCAAAAGATACGCGCCTGGACTATGGGAGTAGTTGGTGAGGCTTTGCTCTCGGTGGAAGGGACATGTCTCCCATGATCATGCGCCATGAGACAGCACCCTTTGGCTCGTGCACGTGTTCGCGTGAGTGTAGTCAATAGGCCTCTCCAGACGAAGGCAAGATCCACCCACCAGTCGCAAGTATCACCAGCCACCAAAGCTCTTCAATGGTCTATTCAGAATAGTTGTGGTCTTCGCAGTCATGCGCTCCGTCAAAGTGACAAATAGCGAGTGAGCCGCCTCAGCAAAAGAGATGTTCATTTGACAATCAGCGTCCAACTACCCACTTCACCTCTCAAGAGTCTGCCGAAACCATGCACCTCAACCAAGTCTTTCTGGTCGTCACCCTCATTCAATCTCTCACTGCCTCTGACTTCGCGAGTGCTGCCAACGATCACATCCATCAAGCAAGCGGGACAACTAACGTGAAGGACGCGTTCGCAGTGGCTCCCGAACGGATCGATAACTTTGGGGAGTCAACTACGTCCACCGACGTTGCAGCAAGTCAAGAAGAGCGGCTTGTACCTGCCGTCGCTACAGGGCGCACACACGCCATCCTGCCAAGCGTCGTAGCTCCATCAGAGCCGACAGAGATGGTAACTAACTCACAATATTTAGACAACGGCGTTCTTCAGCGGGTTGCACGCTTCATTAGCGGTTTCTTTGACGGTGACAACAAGTCGCGTCGCCTCCGACAGCTATGAAGAGAGAGAGAGAGGAGAGAGAGAGAGAGAACTGGTCCAACTACATGAGCTTCAATATCAAAGTCAATAGCATTTAATTCCACATCTGTGTCTCTCTCGTAGCATCCTGTGGTTCTCTCTCTGTGAATGACTCTAGGTACCAGTTTTCATGTCGATCTCGCACTCAGTTTCGCGTCCCAATGTGTCCCTAGACGAGACGGTCCGCAGTCACATCCTCTTTTGGGTACATTGACGCGGTTGCTGGGAACGAGGCAAGAGCTCTGTCATTAGTCTCGATCTAATGTCCAGCTGCACTCAAGTAGAGCATCGCGCGTCAACTATTGAGCTGTTTTGAGCTTATTCAGAATCGATAAGTACCTGCCATATGAAGATGGGACTCTGAGCTTGCAGTCGATAGCAGCCCTCTGCATGTGGATCAAAGTCCGAGTATATCAATAGGTATGCCATTGGGCATCGGCTACAGCTGTACCAAGAAGGAATAGACACTACATCTTCTACCCCATCTTGGATCCATCTTGTTGGAACGACGGATACTAATTGAGGTAGAAACGCAGACTTGCTTACAGAGTGACGTGGAGACGAGCTTCCAGGTCGCTGCTCATTTGCTGTACAGCATGCTTCTGACCATAGACAAAAACAGGGATTGCAATGAGCACGCGTATAAATTCCGGATGCAAGCCTCAGCTCCTGCCATTTGTGTCGGCGATCAATAACCTACAGCGACTGGCACTGAAACTGAAGCTGACATCGACAGCCACCAAACCGCGTAGCCAACCTCATTTTGGATGCTGCTACTCTCGATCACCGCAGTCGCTGCATCCACATCTGTCGCACTTGATGCAGGCCATTGGACACATGAGTACAGCTCGAAATATGTTATAAAGACAATTGCATCACCAGTAGAGAGAACACCTTAACTTCCAAAGAATTGACATAAACATGTCAAGGTAGCGTGTACTGCAATTCAAAGGATCAGACGTCCCTTGTCTGCCGGTAGCATCTGCTGCGTCGTAATAGGTAGATACACTAGCGGCAGCAAGTCTTTCACTTGATGCACGGCACAATCACTCACTTCGACACCATATCTTCTGGCGCAACAAACGCGCTAGCGGCAGCAAGTGCCTGCTCGAAATCAGTCCAAATATCTTCAGGATCCTCCAGGCCAATCGATATGCGAATGAGGTCCCGGTCGACGCCACAAGTCTCCACGAAATCCAGCTCTGCATAGTGTGCAAGTAGCGCGTACGGACAAGCCAGAGTAAAGTTCGTGCCGAGACTCGGACCTTTGGCAATTGTCAGTGCATTGTAAAAAGCCCTGGCTGACTCTAGTCCACCGTGTAGCAGAATAGACACCAGTGGGCCGTACCGAGGTGTGTCCATGTCTTCAACTGAACGTAGAAAAGGGTCGTAGAGGTTCTTGGCGTCGCCCACCGTCGGGTAGTACACTTGCTTCACCACCGGATGCTTCAGTAGCCTCTGCACAATTGTAGCCGTAGATGCATTCGTCTTTACTAGACGTTTTGCCAGGTCCTCCGACTGCTCCAGCAACACGCCCACGTCATCCTCAACCAGGAACGAGTCAGTATCTGGGTCAAAGACCGTACTTAACTCCTCGGCCAGGACACTTGCAGGGTTCAGCACGACACTGCCTGCCATGACAGTTGCCGAGCCACTGAATATTTTGGATAAACTCGTCACCACGATGTCTGCACAGCCATGTTGCATCGTGTTCACATTGAATGATCCAACTGTATCGTCCACAATCAGCACCGTGCCATTGTCATGAGCACAAGTAGCCAATCTCTTGAGATCCACCATTGACAACAAGGGATTGCTGGGAAACTCGGTCCAGATCCCCAGCACTTTTTCCGTGGCTACAATAGCCTCCACCGCCTGCATGTCTTTTTCTCCGCAGGTGGGGAAAAAGTGCACCCCCTGAGGGCACCACTCGGTCCTTGAGAGAATCTTGAGTGTGTCCACGTAGGGAAACCCGACTAAAATGCTTTTGCAGTCTCTTCCTCGAAGCTTTTGCAGGAGCCGAACAGTTGAAAAAATAGCGGCCATCCCCGTCGGGTATAAAGCCACTTTTACATCACGGTCTTGATGGGCTTTAAAATAGAGTGCTGCAACGCGTTCTTTTAGCGCGAAATGCTTGGCCGTCTGTCCTAATTTAGGCCCGGGAATTGTTGACAGGTCCAAATTGCTGCTCTTGAGCACGTGAAGTAGCTGCAGCGCGTGACGCGACGTTACGATCTCGCCCGAATGCTGCCAGAATTGCTTGGCCAGGTGGCGAATGCACCGCGGGAACTGGACAACGTGGATGACGTTTTTGACGACATGTACCGATATGTCAGTACTATTGACCGAGTCGGGTTTTTGACTGTCAAAAAGAAAATGTTGCAAACGTAACGCTACTTCAGAAGTCGGCACGATCATAAACTCCCAATTGGCTGCATCGATCTGAGGAAATATCTGATTCTGGACCAATAATTGCAGCTCCACTACGAGCGGATGACGGAAGAAACGAGGATAGCCGCAGGATAGAGCATTGAGCACGACTGGCTTTCCCTCTTCGTAATCCACGACGTGGGACCACTTGGGCATGGACACAGAGATGGCATGCGGGTCCTGAGGAGGGAGAGACACACCTAGTGGCTGGGGCGTGAAAGACGACATAAGCTCGTGTCAATAATTGTGATTAGAAATAATCGTGGTCGTCGTAGTTTTAGGAGTCGCGGTCGTCAAAAAAGTGTCGCTACCGATCCGTTTTGTGATCGGATTAGCACGATTTGGTTCTCTTTAAAATTGTTCGACCGCGAATTGCAAGTGTTTGGGCTGCAATTTTGTACTGGAACAAATTTGGTTGGTGGCAGCAGGACACGGCTGTAGCTTAGTAGCCACTCGACACTTAGATCTACTTTTATCGTGCGATTACAGCTACTACGCCCGATCAATCAATATTTGGTATCAATGATCGGGCGTACCTGTTTATCCGGTGCTCACAGTGGGTGTTTTTGGGCATAGCCTTACTTTTTGACACTTACTATTTCGCATCCGTCTGAAGATTGTCGGTCGGCAGTAGATCACGTCGACAACCAAAGTAAGCTCGATCAAGTTTCAAGATCGGGGAAGAGCTCTTGGACACGTCCATCTACCAATTTGGTCGTTTGAGTTTACATTCGTTGAAGCTGTTTTCATATAACTAAGTTGTTCTTCCATACGCCGATTCCTAGCCCGCGATTAATCTCGACAGTTCGATGTTGAATACCGGTAAATCAACAGACACTAAAAACACGGCAACTGACACTTGCACAACGACCACTTGCATCTTTGTTTAGAACGGTCGCAGCTCAGAAGATCGTGTATAGCTAACAAATTAATGACTACCTTTGTTCGGTACCGAATTTCGATGATGAATTACATGCTGCATTGAATGTGCTTTAAGGAAGCAGCTTTGACATTGGATCGGATCGTCGACCTCCACATTCCGATCGAAAAGCATGAGTCCGACATCAAAAGTATTTGATGTCGACCTAACAAACACGTGTAGCGCTTACACTCTCAAGAAATAGAGGCGTTTGTAAGCGAAAAAAACATAAAATGCGTCAGTCCCATTGCCCGTTCGTGTATTTTAAGTGATTTTTCTATTGACGTGCAATACTTCTTTACATCGTGGTGCACTAGTAGCTGTGTTGACAACAATGATGCTACGGTGTTGGCAAAATAGTAGGTGAACACATCGCACTCGTCCATTTCAAGTAACTAGTCTTGTTTGCACTAGGCAGCCGGATAGTAGCAGAATTAGCAGCAAAAAACATAGCAATACAAAACAGAGTTGAAGGCGCAGCCACAGAACAATAGTTTGATCAAACACCGATGGTTCAGATGATACGGATGGTCTTGTCAACATTGTTGTTCATAATGCTTAGCTTTCTGCAATCTGAAAGGTACTTGTACTTGAGTGTACCCTCAATAGAAACTACTACTTAAGGTTATGCAAGCGTTCTCGTGCTTCTTACTTCTTCTACTGCTTCTTAATAGCTCTCATTTATCTTGCATCGTTGTTGGTCACCGAATTGTAACGTAGTTCGTGAGTGGGTGCGTGAACCCGCTCTTTTTTTTCTCACTTGTTCTGTTGCTGCTTGACCGCTTGCCCAATAGACTATGGCCGGTGCGACAGCTCGGCGCTAGCAATCTAAACGTCGTTGACGTTTTTGTGTCGGAGCTAAACCATAACTTATGAGCTGTGATTAGCTGGATTCGAAAGTCTGTGGATGTAGCTTACCGTCCAGCCCAGATACCAAATCGACGTGCACGTCATTGAAGCTGATTACAGCTCAACTATATTCTTATGAAGCTGGACCTTTAAGTGCATGTGTTAATACATCAACCATCGGCGTGGTAGTAGTACTACAGCACAAATTAATCGATGAAAAGCACCTGTGAAGACGGAAGTCCAGATACCCCTCCGCTCCAGGGGTGCTACCGCAACGGTACAAGTAGGTGTCAACATACATCGTGTGTCGTCGCTAGCTATGCTTGTCCCGTCCTAAAGATTATTCCTACGATCCTCATGACTGCACTTACATTCCCTGCTGTAGCTTTACATTCCCTGCTGTAGCTTTAGTTTAGCGTGAGTTGCCTACATACTAGTCTAAAACACTGCGATGCCATCCTGTATTTACAAATGTGTCGAGCTCTTATTCGGCCTTCTACACATTTTTATCCTCACGACCAGCAATGTTCAAAAGACACAATATTTCTAGGAAACTAACGGGTACACCCATTCTTTGATGCGTACACACCCAGCCAAGCTGTACAAAATACCTCGTATCCCACAAATTGTAACGTAAATGCATACAAACAAAAGTCACTAAACTTAAATGGACCCGTGCCATATTCTTATTCTCGACCACCACCTCCTTGGCAAACTCTCCAATGCCCACGACCGCACACTTCAGACCTTCCGTCGTCTCTTTCAAGAGGTGGTCAAACGGCAGCTTCTGAATGCTCATGCGCGCTGCCTGCACCGCTTCTCGGGACTCCTGGACTACTGTCTCGAGCGCCTCGTTCTTCTGGTCTAGACCCGTCTGCGCCTTGTAGACCCACTCCTCGCGCTTGGCCTTGCTCATGGCTACATTCAGCGTCTCCACGAGTTTCTCAATGGACTTGAAGATCGACGCCACCACATTATCTTGGAGCGCGACGGCCGAGCGGCTCCTGGCTTTAACACGCACCGACGTGGCGCTGGCCGCAGCTGGAAAAAGCACGTCGCACGTCTCCTCTTAATCGGCCTGTGACGCCACATTCAAGCAGTTACCCTCCACGTCCTGGTACTTGACACAGGTGGTATCGTGAATGACCTGTGAGAACACAAGATGATGATCAAGATGATGACCAAGATGATGACCAAGACGATGACCAAGATGATTGCGCAAGTACTTTCATTAGTTGGGTTAGTCTAGCCTACCATATAACCCTCCAACAAATACACATTCTCAATTTTACCTTTGACTCCGCAAACCCCCTCAAGCAAGGCTTGCGGACTGATCACCCCTCTGCAAGCCACGGGTGTGTCATTTTGATATATATTAAATTTGGCCAATCAAGATCGAGAATCCCGTTGCCTTCAACATGGGACGGAACAATGAAGATGAGTACGTCACGTACACGATCGTGACGTGCCAAGAAAGCACGACCGCACCAGCTGACTTTGCCAAGCTGAAGATTAAGCGCTTTCGCGTAGGGTCCGCGAAGGACTGGCTCAAATGGAGCATGAAGCTCAAGAGCCTCGCAAAAAAAAAGGCCGGGGTGCTGACCAACTGACCGTTCAACTGCTCACGCTGATCGACGGAGATCTATCGCGCGAGGTCGAGCGCGTTGCCAGCGAATCTTCCGAGAAAGGACATACGTTCGAAGACTTCTACCGTGAGGTCGGCTTACTCCTGGTTCCTGCGGATTACAGTGAAGACCTAGATGAGGAGCTGTGGACCCTGACCAAGCGCCGCGACGAAACAGTTCAACGCTGCTCGGCACGTCTGCGAGAGCTTGCTCAAATGTACGCCGAGTTGCCGCAGGATGCGCAAACACTTTCGGAGAATCAACTCTGTCGCTACTTTCGCCGAGCTATGCCTCCAAACTGGCAAGACAAGCTTGCATTTTGTGGAATCTCCTACGAAACCATAACAGAGCTTGCGATGTACTTTGAGCGACTCGAAAGGCGCGAAAGACAGAATGGCCGGGAGCGCCAGAATGGTCAAGGAAAGAATGGTGAAAGGGGTCAAGGTCGGCGTGACCAGCAACGCCCGTTCAACGACCGTAATGACCGTTGAGATCGTCGCAACCAGCGCGGACATCATGACTCACACGAGAATCGTCCTCACAGACGGACTGTGACAGATTACAAAAAGCAAAACGACCGCCATGATGATACTGGTACGTGGTGTAAGTTCCACAAAACAAAGTCTCACAACTCCAGCGAGTGCTTCGCCCTGAAGAAGCAGCGCGAGGAGCACAAGCCAGCTGAGATACAGACAACAGTTTCGAGCAAGTACAAGTATCCCAGATTTGAAGAGGAGTCAAGTGACAGTGACAGCGACAGCAACAGTGAGATGTAGCTCGTTGGTCTGGTCGCCAAGAAGCATTCTAGCACCAAGCTCGCTCCGTTACGCATCAAGGTTCAGCTCAAGAACGCAAACGGCACCTTTGAAGCGCTACTAGATAGTGGTGCATCAATGAGCATCATCAACCAGAAGACTCTGCAGGCTAACGTCCAGCTTGGACGTAAAAAAGTTGCATCGTCGACCAAGTTTCAGACGGTAAATGGCGAGGTGACAAGTGATGGCAGTCACAGTCGTTCAGTTTCAATTTGCATCCCTCAAGCCTACAGCCATCATCACTCACAGGTTCGAAATTTTGGAGAAGAGCCAAGATGCTATGGTGATTGGTCGGGACATCATGACGTCATTGGGCATTGTGCTCAATTTCAAAGAAAAGGTTGTTCAGTGGGATGGCCACTACGCGCACCTTAATACCGGTGGGTCACGCTCTTTCGAGGTGAGCGATTACGAATTTCTCGAAGAAAGCAAAGAAATTGCTGAAAGTGCAGTCCTACCAGAAGAACTCATGCCCGACACACTACCCAACTCTCTCGTCGACGAATATCATCAGCTTCTTCGTGATAACAAAAGAGTGTACGATGGTCACTTGGGAAGGATGAGGTTCGAAGATTACATCTTGCCTATCTCACCTGACTACAAGCCCGTTCACGCCAAGCCATATCCTGTCCCACGTAGCCTCGAAGGAAAGGCGCAAGAGCTAATTCAGCATCTGATTAGCATCGACGTGCTGGAGAAGATCTACGATTCGGAAATGGCATCGCCAGCCTTTTTTTCTGCAGAAACCCAACGGCTCCCTGCGTTTACTGATCGACTTTCGTGGGCTCAACCGATTTTTGCAGCGCAGCCCATACTACGTCCCACGTATTCGAGAGATTTTATTACGTCTCGCGGGAGCGAAGTGTCTTTCTACGCTGGATGCAAACATGAGGTACTACGCGCGTCGTCTCGCTACGGTAAGTCGTAATTACACTGCATTCTGCTTACCTTTCGGGAAGTTCCAGTACAAGCGGCTCCCAATGGGAATTTCTACGGCGCCGTACGAGTATCAAGCGTGCATGGAAAAGATATTTGGTGACCTGGATTTTGTCGTCGTTTATCTGGACGATATTCTCGTTTATTCTAGTAGCGAGAAGACTCACCTCAAGCACCTGGGTATTGTGTTCAAGCGTCTAAAGAAGTATGATGTTACGCTTAACGGCAAGAAGTGCCACATTTTACGCGAGTCTGTTGACTATCTTGGCTTCACTCTTACATCCGAGGGGATTCATCCCCAGCAGACGAAGATTCAAGCGATCCAACAGATCGCCGTACCCGAGACCAGAAAGGAGCTACGCCGCTTCCTCGGGATGATTAATTACTACAGGGACATGGTACCGAACAAGACGAAATTATGCCAGCCACTTAACCGCTTCACAAGCGCTAAAGTCCCTTTCGAATGGCTATCCAGTGACACGGAAGCGTTTCACGCTGTTCAGAAAGCGTTTGCGCAAGCTATCCTGCTCGCGTTTCCCGATTTCGAGCAGCGATTTCACGTTTATGCCGACGCCAGCGGTAAGCAGATCGGCGGCATCATAATGCAAAGAAATCAGATCCTTGCATGCTACTCGCAAAGTCTGAACAAGCACCAAGTCAATTACACTACTATGGAACTCGAGATTCTTTCGATCGTGGAAATTTTGCGCGAACATCGCACCATGTTGCTCGGTTTTCCTGTGGTCGTTCATACCGACCGCAAGAACCTCATATATCCTACCGAAACCAGTGCCTGCGAGTCAAGCGCTAGAAGCTTCTCCTCTCGGAGTACCGCCTCTCGATGCACTACATCAAGGGGGCCAAAAATGTTGGTGCTGACGCTTTTTCGCGGATGCGATTTGATAACTTAGAGACAAAGTCTAAGTTGCAGCTTGCGGAGGAGGTTTTTTCGACGACGGATGAGCCAGACTGTGTCATGCATGGTCCTGTCCTACGAGAGCACCAAGAGAGAGACGCCATGATCCAGAGGATCGAGACTTCCTGCCTTAAAGGCAACAACAACCCCGACTACCAGCTCCTACCGCTACTTGGCTGCACACTGGTTGCGTACCAAAAGCGCGTCATTGTGCCCGACAGCCTGCGCGATGACCTAATTAATTGGTACCATTTGAGTCTCAGCCACCCGGGAAGTGAACGCCAGTACAAGACGATGAGACAGGTGCTTTACTGGCCCGGCATGGAAGCCGCTATAAACAAGGAGACGAAGAATTGTCTCGTTTGCAAGAAGGCCAAGGTACATGGAGGCAAGCAAGACTACGGATTATTGCCACCTCGGACACTTAAAACAGTGAACCCTTTCGACTCGGTTCACGTTGATTTAATTGGTCCCTACGAGGAAGGATATTATGGCATCACTATGGTCGATCACGCCACGCCTTGGCTGGAAGTGGGTATCCAGCCTGATAAAATTTCTCTGACCACAGCCGAGAGCTTCGATCGTGAATGGCTTTGCAGATACCCGCGTCCAGTAAAAGTCATCCATGACCAAGGGACGGAGTTTACGGGTGAAGAGTTTCAGGAGATGCTGCGCAGCTACGGAATTCAGTCCAAGCCCATCACAAGCAAGAACCCACAAGCAAATGCGATATGTGAGCGCGTGCATTTGGAGATTTTGAGTGTCATCCGTTTCTACGATGGAATTGACTGGAAAAAGACCATACACTACGCTGCGTTCGCCGTGAGAGCAAGCTACCACAGCATTCTCAATGCTTCGCCAGGTCAGCTTCTCTTCGGACAAGACATGATCACTCGCCAGCTTTACAATGCTAACTGGAGCTACCTATCCAAGCGCCGTTTCGATGCAATCCTCGCTGACAACGACCGCGAAAACAGCAAACGCCTTGAGCATTTCTACAATGCAGGCGATCACGTGATGCTGCGGGCTCCCAAGCAATTTCGTGCGAAGCTTCACACCGTGGCACACGGACCGTTCCTAATACGTGCAGTTCATGACAACGGAACTGTCACTATCGACAAGGGTAAACGACCAGACGCGTGAGCATCTACCGCATATTTCCATGCTAATTCTCACAGATCATGAGGGGAGTATAATATAGGTGGTATCGTGAATGACCTGTGAGAACACAAGATGATGATCAAGATGATGACCAAGATGATGACCAAGACGATGACCAAGACGATGACCAAGACGATGACCAAGACGATGACCAAGACGATGACCAAGATGATTGCGCAAGTACTTTCATTAGTTGGGTTAGTCTAGCCTACCATATAACCCTCCAACAAATACACATTCTCAATTTTACCTTTGACTCCGCAAACCCCCTCAAGCAAGGCTTGCGGACTGATCACCCCTCTGCAAGCCACGGGTGTGTCATACTGCACCACAAAGCTGACGGGCGCTAGGCTAAACGTCTCTTCAAAAAGCGCCGTCAAGGCAACGAGCAAGAACGACGTGAAGTCCACGCGCAGACGGTGCAGCTTTCCCTTTTACTTGATCTTGAGCGCCGTTTGCTCGGCGTCCATCGTGAGAGATTGTTGAAGTGCAGTGAAGGAATTCCATGCAGTGGAGTCTTGGTCATGGTCGATATCGCAGTGCAGTTTAATTTAGTAACTCAAATTTTACGCGTTTATGCTATAATTTGAGACGAAGGATTAGTTCACACAATTTGGAGAAGGTGTGTACGCATCAAAGGGTGGGATGTGCACCTATCAATTTTCTATTTCTATCCATCTAACCTCATTAAAAGCCCGAAAAATGAAGGCACATGTGAAACGGCTATGTCCAATTTTTATTCAGCTGGGTCATTTTGATCCGTTATCAGAAGTGATTCGAAAATGCGCCCGATTTCGTCAGGAGTAGATTCCAAATACTATCGTTTAGAAAAGTACCCAAAAGAAAAATAGTCCTCTCTTTTTACCATCTCGTCCCTTCCTCGTCCGTCCACACCAATCACTACACATCATTCCACACCATCCGTTTTAATCACCCCAAAACACCCTCAACACCCTCTGGAACCTGATACACACACAAGCGTGTCGACCCAAATCCCCTCTCTATCGCCATATTCACCATGACCGCCGTCTCTTCGTCGCTCGATGGCGCGACTTTGCCAAGTATCATCACCACGGGTTTACTCATGGGTCTCGTGCACGTCCTAACGGGTCCGGACCACTTGAGTGCGCTCATCGTCTTAAGCGCCGGCTCGTCCTGGCACTCGTGCCAGTTGGGCATGCGCTGGGGCTGTGGCCACTCCACGGGCCTCATCCTCGTCACCGCGTGCTTCCTCGCCCTTGGGCAGCACTTGAACGTGGACGCGTTTGGAAATGATTGCGACTTTCTAGTCGGGTTCCTCATGATAGGGCTCGGGCTCTGGAGCTTGCGTCATTATCTGCTTCTGCGTCGCCAGCTGGTGCAGTTTCCGTCACACCAGATGGTAGACGAGACGATGCCGTTGCAACGTGAAGTCCAGCTGGTCCACGAGGAAGAAGGTTCGGAGAACGTGCGAGACAGCCAGCAGAAAGGACGGCTGTTTTATGATGATCTGGAGCCGAGTCGGCGAAACCAGCTGGTGTCAGTGGACGACGATCGGACGACAGTACCAACTACGACAGGCTGCTGCTTTGGCCTCGTGAAAGCTGATATCAAGAACCCGCGGACGCAGAAGCTCACGGCTTTTGCTTACGGGACAGCTCATGGCCTCGCAGGTACTGGCGGTGTCCTGGGAGTGTTGCCCGCCGTGATTCTCAACAATTGGACAAAGTCATCGGCTTACCTTGGTGCTTTCTGCCTGTCGTCGATCTTAACAATGGGTGGATTTGCAGCGCTGTATGGAGAAATTACGGGACGCATGAGTCGCGTGTCGGATGCGTTGCTCGTACGCATTGGCGTCTTTTCGTCCTGTGTGTCACTATGCGTCGGTGTCATGTGGGTCGCCCTTGTGATGACGGGCACTTTGGACAAAGTCTTTGGATAAGAGATCCTTTTTTTACAAGTGGGGTGCTTCAAGCACCTGGTTTGACTCGGAAGAGACACCGTGCAACGCAAGCTGAACGTACCTGAAGAGCTTCTTTGTCTTGACGACGTTGGTGTAATGCTGCTAGCTTTTGCGATGTGTTGTGTAGCAAATAAGCTCGACTCGAGAGAGAGAGAGGGAATTTGGGGGTTGCATCGGCAAATGTTTTTACGAATATTGCGGTCTTGATAGCCGTCGATTCGTTTGTGTGTATTGACTTGCGTTATTCTCCAAACACGGCTGACATTTGACCACTGGCTTGGAGCGCGACCCACGCAACGCCAACGATGAATGAGAAAAAAGAGGAAAACATGCCGATCCGGAATTGCACTACCAACGAATTGCCGCCAAGTCGACCAGTGACTTCACCGTAGAGAGCCGCAAAGACACCCATGATGAAGATTGACGCTACGCAGAAGGAGGCGAGATAGGAAATCGACTTGGTCCAGTCGTTCAGCACAACGGCGGGTAGTACGCCTAGAATACCTCCAGGTCCAGCAAAGCCGTGGATGATTCCAATGATCAGCGCCATAATCTGCACGACCCCGTGTTTTAGTTTCAACACGGCGATGAGAGTCAGAAACACAGCAACAGCAGCAGCTACCAACCTTTTGCGTCGTCGGTTTCTCAAAGTCGACACATTGACAGCACATCCAATTGCGGGGATGGAACGAAGAAGACGTTACCGTCCCTCCTTCTGTAATATCCTCAGCTTGAGACCACTGAGCTGAAGCTAACAAGCTACCTTCCTCTTGCTTGAGCGCTTGAAAAGACGTAGACGGCGAAGCTGACGTCTCAACTCCAGTACACTCTTTTGCAGAAACTATTGATACGTGCGGTGGTGCATCTGAGCAAATGCTGGACAAGCGTTGCTGAGACAAAGGCATTAGCTCTACCAAATTGGTTGGCGTGGCGCTCGAATTGCGTTGACTGACTGGACTGCTCTGGATTTGACCTTCTTCGATTTCACCTACCAGAGAAGGCGGTACTCCTTCTTTCAGCTGTGCTCGGTATTTCCTGCGTTCATGGAAAGCTGTCCACAGTCCCAGCACGATCATGAAGAACCCGACGGCGTAATTCAGGTACCTGCCTACTTGATCCAAGTCAAGTGTTTGTCCAGCAGCAAAGAAAATAAGCGCCATGAAAATGAGACCGATGGAATGTCCGCAACCCCATCGAATGCCCAATGCAAACGCTCGCCACGATGAGCCAGTGGTCATGGCAGCCAATGCACTCAAATGGTCTGGACCTGGAGCAAGTTGAAAGAAAACACATGTGATTATGACAAATCTTCCACATCCTTCCGATGCGACGAGTACCATCTCAATAAAGATGGAAAAGGTTCGTACCTGTCAAGACGTGCACAACCCCGAGCAAGAGACCTGTCGAAATGATTTTGCCCAGCGAAGCGCCTGATAAACTGCTGTGCTCTTCGCTCAGCCATCGATTGGTGTGAGTCATGACGCTATTGTTGCGACTTTTGTACTAGAAAAAGATTAATGTTGATCGTTTCGGATTTGTCTGGACTGTACCCATGGAAAATCTGCACCGTACCCCAGGAAAACTGCATTATACCTGAATCCCGTGCCCACTGATATAAATGATTGTAAGAAAAGCGTTTTTGTGTTTATTTCTAAACATTCCCGACCTCATCCTCGAATCAACATCTGATTGCTTATTGGTTGATTTCCTTAAAAGATTTTTGGCAATATAGAATCAGATGGCGTGTTTTACATCCTTTCAGTCAAATGTGCTACATATCATCACACGACAGAAAACAAAAACGATGCTCGATTACCAAAGTGACCAATCTTGCGCCGTGCTACAGCATCGTCGTTATATCCGCCTTTGCTACTCTAAGTCACGATCCATTCAAAGTGGTGGAAACGTATGTACTCCGTGACACCAAGCAATGAACGTGCGAGTACCTTATCACAGAAGTGGACGCACGATTACACAGCTGAGGTCTCACGTCTTCTCCATTAACATTTGCGTAGTGTCCACATCTTCACTCTCAGGGGGCATGGCAGCGCCTCAGAGCGCCATATAGCAATTGCCAGCTATCTCTTCTGGAGATAGGCAAGAGCCTATCCAGACTTTCTTACAGCCGGTCACCCATCGTAGCACGATGCACCAGGATTAGCCACTGCTCGCACAGGCTATGTAGATCCAGCTTGTCCGTCATTTCCTCCGCGCTCATGGCGTTCGATAGATCCTGTTTGTTTAAAAAGACCAGCAGCACCAAATTCCGCAGCTCGTTCTTGTTCACTATGCGAAGCAGCTCGTCCTCGTTCAGCATCCACACGATCGCCATCATTTTTGTTTGTTTAAATTGAGGTGTATTAAGGAACGATGGCGGCCAACAAAACATATACCGAATAGTCCGTGCTACTCTGTGAATCTATTGAGAGTATGTTGGAAGATCATGTGCAAGAAGTGTATATGAGCCGCCGCCGTGAAGAGACAGTGACTGATACACTGCGGAGAATCGCAGGAGCAAGACTAATTTACTGCGAAGGGTTGCCGTGTGCATGATCGAGGCCTCTTTCTAACTGCGTTAATAAATTTATTCCCCATTCAACTCTGTTGTACACACGCGCAAATCTTGCTGTTTGCCAACAGGTTATGAGCCCAAGTTTAAGGACTTGGTAAGAGATCATGACGGAAGCACGACAGCACCTAGTCCACGCAAGTAAATGGCTCACGAAAGGGACCAACAAGGGGGATCAAGATGGAGGGTCGAGGCACAGCACTGGAGGGGCATGCCGAAGAAAAGAGTGAAGATAAAGCGCCGCCAGTGAACCAGGCGGCAGCTCTCGCAAAAATGCTCAGGATACTGGAGAAGATAGACAGCCGTGTTAGTCAAATCAAGGCTCGTCAAATTGGGAGCAGTTTATTAGAAGCGCTCCAAAGTCTTCTCCTTTGCCAGCGGAGGTCCCTCACACAGCACCTCGAGGTTAAGCATTCGGCCACAATTGGTCGTGCAATATCTAAATTTGGTGGAAAACTCACACTAAATGAGCTTGGTGACAGTGGATATGGAGCAAAAAGTGTCTTTAAGGGTAGGGCAGAGAACACGCCTATTGAAAAACACTCGGTCTATAAATCTTTCAACATGGCACCACCAGAATCGATCAAGAATCCCAATCTTATGATAAATAAGTTTACGGGAGGAGAACAGTATGTAGGCCTCGGCACAGGATTTAGGCAGTGAAGTATACGTTTATCGAGGCGTTCGAGATGGCCGAGATTCAGAGTCAAGTTGCGTGGGGAAAACGCCCCAAAGTGAACAAGCTGGAAGAATACATGGCACCAAACAGAGTGGCTGCAGCGTATTTTCAAGTCAACGTAATGACATGGTGGAAGTTCAACCCGACGTTGTACCACGCACTCGATTAGTTATACCAAGCGTTCAAATTGACGATCACGCACCAAAAGACCGCCGCATTGTTTGCGAGTGAAAAGGGCAAGTCGCGTTCGTGGAATCAGCATCTCTTATAACTGATCGCATTGTGTCAAGAAAGCGAGTCACACGAACGACTCGTTGTGGAGAATATCGTTAAGCACGCTGCGCCGCACTTCACAATTGCGATGATGGTGCGATACCAACCGAGTCGCACGGAAAACCCTCACACACGCTCGAGAGCTCATCGCATGGGCGCAAGAGGTTGAGGACGATGGAAAGTGGTTATAAATGACCAAAGGCATAGTCAGAGCAGTCGGCCATGGCAAAGTTCAAGGTCACTCTCATAATGAAGGTCGAAAGTATTTTAATTGCGGCAAGCGAGGGCATATAACGAGAAAATGCCACCAACCGAAGAAGGAAGACGGACGCAGGAAGCAAATTTTGTATCAGCTGCATGCGAAAAACCGAAGCACCACCAAACAAAGTAGTCAGCACCTGGATGCGTTTTTGACGTCACACAAGGGAGCTCATACATGTGGGTGGGTGATAGTGGGCAAGTAGACAACTCGTTCACGACCCTAACTTGCTCCACGATGCCACAAGTTGTGATGAAAATGATGGAATTCTGTTGACTGAAGGAGGTGTACTTAAGGTGACTAAACGAGGATCTGTGATTCTACACGGTACTGCTAATGGTATCAAGACTCAGATCATGCTTACAGAGGTATATCATGCACCCAAGTTGGCTAGGAACCTCATCTCTATGGGCAAGTTGTTTGAAAACGGATGTTTATTAAATACGGAAGGCGATGTGATGTGCATGCAGCTAGGCTAAAATCCTCTCTTCGATTAACGAACTGAGTATGGAGTGTTTGTGGCAGAATTGTCTTCAAGTATGTTGAAAATGACACTGAAACGACTGAATGAGATTGTAATGACGGCAGTTCAAGATACAGAACCCAAACTTGATGTACCAAAAGGATCGCTGCACCATTTTCAATTTCGTCTTGGACACATATCTTACGAAAGCGTGGAGCGTGTGGCCAAAGATCTTAATTACGGCATTGAGCTTACTGATCACGGGCGTGCAAACTGTCTCACGTGCGCTGAAGCGAAGAGCACTAGGACTGGACAGCCCAAGAACAACTCGGGCGCAAATGAACCAACGGACCGCATCGGGGGTGTGATCTGTAGTGATCTAAAAGGACCAATCACCCCTATAGACCGACATGGAAACCGATATTTGGTCGTGTTTATTGACTACAAGTCAAATTACGTGCGCGTATTTGCGGCACGGCAGAAAAATGCTGCGGCCGAGGTGTTTAAGAATTTTCAAGCGTGGTTTGAAAACGAGTTCAATTGCCGCATTCATGTCCTGCGCACTGACGGCGGAGGAGAATATGAATTGGTCAGTCTCTTCTGCAAACAGACAGGCGTTCGACGTCAAGAAAAAGAAGCAGGTACTCCACAATCTAACGGGTAAGCTAAACGCATGAACCGCACCGTCTTTAACATAGTGCGTTTCATTATTTTTGGTTAAGGTTTAGCGCTGACGTATAAAAGTGAGGCTGCAGAGTATGCTGCTTATATACTTAACCGGAATCCGACTCGAGCAAATTTAGGGCGTGCGTCGCCGATTGAAGTACTCACCGGGCGGGCACCGAATTTGCAAAATATCGTTGAGTTTGGGTCTCCGTGTATGGTTTGGCGGGACCCTAAAAAGAAGACATAAGCGCGTCATGCGGATCGAGCACTGATCCGGGGTATAAACGAAGAAACAAAGGGATACAAGGTTTTGCTGCTCAAGGCCAAAATCGTGACGACAACAAGATAAATCTCCAACACCGAAACACTTAATGGTACGCGTGAATGAACAGATATTAACATGCACTTCATGATGACGGAGGAAAAACTGCTAAACAAGTGAGAAAGGAAGTGAAGATTAAGCATTGAGTGGCAACGGAAGAAATTTTTGCAAAGCAGAAGGAGCTATTTACGTCAGTTCCGAGGAGATCACAGCGCAATCGTACCAAGTCAAGGAAACAAGCTGAAGCAGACGAGCATGGTGAAGAAAGGATAATGAAAACACAAGAAAAGGCATGTTCACTTACCCGTTCAAATCAAGGAAGATGCAAAAAATGTGGAAGAACTGGAAACGAGTGCCAAATAGTTGCAAGCGTCGGATAAAGTGCTTAAGGCTTTCGGAGTGCTGCCTTTAGAACAAGCACATCAACAAAAACGAACGATGCCAGTCCCAGAAAATTTTAAGGCAGCGCGTTGTGGACCTGACAGTGCCAGGTGGGCGATTGCCGAACAAGAGGAACTTGCGTCACTTGAGAGAAACGAAACATGGACAGTGATTCAACTTACAAATACCTAGAAACCTCTTCCAACAATTTAAATTATAAAACCAAGATGAGGGCAGATGGGACTGTGGAAAGATACAAGGCGAGGCTGGTGGTTCAAGGCGACAAACAAATTTTGGGCGTAAATTACAACCTCACATTCTCTACGGTGATGCTGGTAGGACATGCATTTTTCTTTTTTACACTTTCACGGATGTGGGGGTTGCCGGCTAGGCGTGGAGACGTCTTAAGCGCGTACCCGAAGGCTTTCACGGAGCCAGAGTACGAGGTTCACTTGATAATTCCCGATGGAATGACAGTGACACAAGACACTCTGGACCGACTTGGCGCAACGGATTCCGATGAACTGGTGTTGCTCCTTGAACGGAGCCTTTATGGATAGAATAGGCAAGAAGACTTTGGCATCAATTGTTGTGTGACATGCTGCTCAAGATTGATTTCAAACAGTGCATGACAGATCCGTGCGTTTTCTACAAGGTTGACGAGGATGAAATGACTATTGTCGGGGTCTAAGTTGATTACTTAATAATTACAGGTACGACAGTGAGACGTGTTGACCCATTCTTTGCTGACATGAAGGTGCTTGAGCTCACAAAAAAACGTATTTGTTGAGAAGTTTCTCGGAATGAGAATTGAGTGGACAAAAAAGGAGGATATTGGATCGACCAGGAGCAATTATTATTTCAGTGCTCAAATACATGGTCTGGCTGAAGCATAATCGGTACGATTACCGATATCTGAAGTGCACGTGGTTGAAGGAGACCACGAGCTGTTGAAAGGAAATGCCGTAAAATTGCATCGAGTTCCGACTATTAAAGTTTTTTAGTTTTTTGTTAGGAGCTTGCTATGTATATCGCGGTGTACGCGTCCAGACATTCCATTCGCTGTGCATAGGGCGACTCGGCAAAGTCGCGCACCGACACGATTACAAGCTTGCAAACAGATTGTAAGGTGCTTAAAGGGAACGAAAGGTTTAAAGCTGCATTTGTGTGAAGACAGCGAGCCTCAGTCGCCCATCAGGATTGTCAGTTTAAGTGATGCGGACTTCGCGGCTGATACTGAAGATCGAAAAGCTGTGAGTGCAGCTGTGCAGGTGGTTAATGGTATCACTGTAGGGTGGCACTGCAAGAAACAAGCTGCTGTGGCTTAGTCAACGTTGGAAGCGGAATTTGTCGCTGCGTCAGTCGGCGGACGTGGGGCGCTATAATTGAAGGAGCCTAATGAAGATCTCGGGCAGCAAGTAAATACACCTGTGGTACTCAAGATTGATAATTAAGATGCAGTGAAGCAAAATAAATACGAAGCGAGCTCAGCCAGCATGAAGCATGTGGATGTGAAGCTCAAGTTTTAACTTGATTACGCCAAGAAGCAGACGGTCAAGCCAACTTTTTAAGGTACGAAGACTATGGTCGCAGATTTACTGACGAAGGTGCTGACTGCTCCAAGAATTTAAGAATTGCGCTTGCTCATTAACTTGGAGTGATGTTCATCAAGGCGCCAAAAAGGAGTGTTGGAAGATCATGTGCATCAAGTGTACATGAGCCGCCGCCGTGAAGATACAGTGACTGATACACTGCGAAGAATCGCAGGAGCAAGACTGATTTACTGCGAAGGGTTGCCGTGTGCATGATCGAGGCCTCTTTCTAACTGCATTAACAAATTTTTATTCCCCATTCAGCTCTGTTGTACACACGCGCAAATCTTACTGTTCGCCAACGGAGTAAGTAGCCTACAGTGCGAATGGACAGACAGCATGTCACCTGACGTCTAGCCGACGATGTATTGACGCCTGATCGCGAACGGACTTCGAGAGGCGATGCAGATGCCCCATGTCAACGTGACGTGACGTCTCGAGCCAATGTGGTACAACGAGGTAGGCTACTGTTGAATTTTCTGAAAAAGCTATAACCGGGCGGGGCAGGAACCTGATACGAGAGGTAGGTATCCAGTGCTGAGGTCTCAGCAAGGTCGATCATCTGAATATATAAGCGGGAATGAGAAGTCGAGCTGGTGACTTGGATGGCATCCGCTAGGGCCAGGCGGTGTTATATAGTGCAGCGACGTGCGGTTGCCGAGGAGATTGATGTAGTCGAACCTGCAAAACCACCTATGAAACCTCTCCAGCGACGTGCAACAGCGTAAAGCCGCTGGGTTTAGCCACTCGCAAAGCAAAAAGAAGACCGCGGCAAGTAGCTAAGGTACCCGAGGGCGAAAATGAGCTCAGGTCAACGCTAAAAATCCATACAGCGCTTGCCGCATTCGACTGCACCTGTATTTGGGTGACGACGTACCCGGATCCACGAGGACCGAATCAACCGTATGATGCACCAGCAAACTAAGGAGAAACCGGTATGTGAGCAATCGATCGGAAACAAGACGATCGCCTTTGTTTATGTTGGCCACGAAGATCAGGCTTCGTGTAATTTTATAGTAGTGGCGCCACAGCGGATGGTTCTTGTCTTGTCCACTGGCAAATTGTGTAACGGGGTAGCTCATTACATGATATTGACACCAAACAGTGTCTATGAAGAGATTGACTAGCGTGACAATTCCCTACCAATATCATCTGAGATAGGTAATATTGATGTTATATAATTCCCCTAGGATAATATTCATGCGCTGCTCAAAGATTGGTTGATAAAGACTTATCAACCAAGATTAACAACAATCTCTGCTAGACGCGCGTAATGAGTGGTGAGCAGGTTGTCGTCATACAACAATGTCGAAAATAAAGTTAGATAAAGACTGAAGTTATATTGATAGCTCAAGTATATTAAACAAAGTTCTCTTCTTACCTTTACTCTGTACCAGCTGTTTGAGTAGATCAGCTTCCTCTGCATGTACGAGTGTACGTGAAGGTTTGTGACACCCCAAACAAAGGGTGCCCCGTTACACCTGGTAGCATTTTGTAGTCCGTCCAGCGACTACTTAGTGTCCGTTTAACGTGAACACGTTGGACGTAAAAGACAACAGCTTTCACGTCACAACTGAAGGCTACTCCCATCTGAGTGTATCAGAATGGGAGATAGTCGACCGCACGGGTGTGCTCATGAGCGAACCCCTCCACCATGGCATGTTGGAACTTTTAAACATAGACTAGCAAAATGCCGCTTTCAGTAAGTTCCTACCAGGGGAACTTGCCGTCGAAAGACAGAAGATAGCCTTGCTGCACCGGCAAGGCTCTTATCAGTCGATGAGCGGGCCGACGCACACGCGTCGACCCGAAACCTTGAAGATAGATATCTCAAGGTACTAGGGAACCGATGAAGATTCCCTTTTGAGATGATTCGTCGAGTAAGACAACGCCATTAGGGCCCGTCACATCAAGGATGACGAAATGCAAGTCACCTTCGCCCTGTCGAATTCGACAGGACGAGTAATGACTTGGGCCTTAGGGCTCAAGCTTCACGACCCAAACGTGTTTGAGTCGTTAAATATCTTGAAGTCTCGGCTCAAAGATACGTTTGAGCCGCCACGAGCCGAGTTCAGAGCGAGCTCTGCACTCCTGAGGCTTAAGCAAGGTAAGTGTGAACTACATGCTTACGCACAACACCTACGCTACTTTGCGAGTAGTATAACGGAATCCCCTGTTAATGAGCTTACGCTCATCTACGTGTTCATCTGTGGCCTTGTAGATGGACCGGTGAAGATTTAAATGTTTCAAGAGGACTTCCATATGATGGAAAAGTCGATGTCGTACGCGGAACAAAAAGGATTTAGCCTGATCCAGTCTCATTCTAACTCTATCGTCCGACGAGACGACAGGAAACCGAAATTCCCGAACCAATAGACCTCTGTTATATCGAGAGCGAGAACTCTTGCTCTCTGAGTCATAAGCGAACGGCAAGATGCCATCGCTTTCAGAAGATTGGGCACTACGCTCATGAGTGTAGTGTCCGAAGCACCGCATTACGTCCAAAGACAGGACACGATGACTACCGTTGGCCAAGGAAAGGTCCGAGGCGTGGGTCCGACCATATCGCTAATCCGACAGCAAGTCGGACCGTTAAATAACGGTCAGGGTCAGTAGGGGCGGAGCACTCTGCTGCTCCAGCAACGTCCAGAGAATTTGCAGTACTCTTGACGAAAATCGCTCCCAACACGCAGTCTCTGTTTGTTACTGACTTTAGTGATGAGGTGTCCTTCATCACTTTGAAGATCGAAGTGACCAGTGGAATGTCACTTCGCGCCCTAGCTGACTGTGGGGCGTCAAACAGTTTTATTCGACGCAAGACGCTAGGGGTAGTAGGCTCAACTATGTTGAGCGAGAGTTCCCTCCAACGAGGATGAAGGCGTGCCTTGCAGCAGACGCATCCGTAACAGTGAACAAACATGTAATGAGAACCCATTGCACGCTAGAAGGAAA